AACTTATAATAGAAATTAGTAAATTTAAAAAATAATTAAATATTATAAAATAATTCTGGTTCTAATTATTTAATAATATTATAGACTTATTTAGAATTTGTATAAATATTTTTTATTTTAATAAAAAAGCCCAAAAATTCGATTTCTTTAATATTAAACTCGTATTTACTAAGTTTATAAAATAAGTTATTTTTATATAGTCTAGTAAATATCTAGTAAATATAATTATAATATTTACTTTTATTTTAGAAATAAATAAGAATATTATCTAAATAAATAACTATAAAATAATCTAGAAGCCTTATAAGTATAGTATTAATATATACTTGAAATATAACTAGTATATTAGTTAGCCTAAAAGGTATTATAAGATATTTAAAATAGCTATAATAGGTTCTAAAAGCCGTCTTTTACTCGTATTCTTTATAAATTCTTATCTAATAATATATATTCTTGAAATCTAACTTTATAAAAATCTTGGCTTTTTAGAACTAGTTAAGAGTTTTATTAATAAGAAGAAGTAAATACTAATTCTTAATTTTAACTTAATTAAGTTTATAATAATTAATATAAAGATATAGCTCTTTATTTTTCTTAGAAATAAAAAGAATAAGTATTCTTACTAGGCTTTTATTAGGCCTTATCTAATATTTATAAAATATATCCTATAAATACAAATATAATACTTCTAGTTAGGTTTCTAATAGATTATATAAAGGCCCGTATAGAACTATACTATTTATATTAATAAAGTATTTAATATTACTAAGATTAGGAAGTTCTAAAGCTTTATTAGAATTAAAAACCTCTAAGAAGTCTTTATATTTATTATTCCGGAAATAAATAGATATCTCTAAGGCCTCTTTCCGGAGGATATTAATTTACTATATTAAAAACTTCTATTTAGTATTATTAGAACTATATAATAAAGTAAAAATCTAGTAATTATTATAAATATATAAAGCCTATTATCTAGAATAGTTATATTTGCCTTTAGTTAAGAATAAGACTTGAGATATTAGCTTAGGATACTAGTTAAGCTTCTTATTAAATTCTTTTAATATTAGAATTTTAATATTATTAGGTTATATAGGTATATATATCTATTATTTCTTAATATAGTCTATATATTATATAAGAGTTACTTTATAAAATTCTATATTAAAGATAAGGCTATAAGAGCTAATATTTTTATATCTATAGAACTAGAGCTTAAAAGAACGCGTTTTGCTATAATTATTTATAATAAATATCTTAAGATTATAGACTTAATAGATCTTAAATCTATTTCTATAAAAGATTATAAATTTTTAGTTATATTTAGCTAAGGTAATAAAGCCCTGGCTTTAAGTCTAATTATTATTAATAAAGTTATAGTCTAATCCGGTATTACTAAATTTATTATATATCTCTAAAATACCTATTTCTGGCTATATTAATCTTATTTAAATAGTTATATAAAGTAATATATCTTTTTTATTATAGCCAAAATTATTAATATTTAAGATTTGGTTTTCTCTTTTCCTTATTTCTTAGAAAAGTCTTCTCTAGAATACTTCTTTATAATAATAATATTAACCTGCTTTTATAAATACCTTAACTCTTTTATAATTTTAGTTTTATTAGGGTTTTATTAAGTTTATTTAATATACTTAGAATACTTTATATTTCCTAAGAAATATTCTTTCTATTTATAAGTCTAATAAATTATACCTAAAGTAAAACTAGTACTTTATTAAGGCCTTAAAGGGGCTAAAGCATTACCTAAGAATTTCTTATATAATTTTCAGAACTTATTCTTTCTTTTTTAATAGTCTTATAAATCAGAATTTACTAAGTTAGAGTTCTTGAGAGCAGAATTATCTTTACTAGACTTCCTTATCTTTACTTTCCTTAATTTGGAATAAGTAGTATATTTTGCTTTCTGAGCTTTCTTAAGTTATTTAGTAATAAATATTACTTTATTTTCTAAAAAAATAAATATAAGTATCTGGCGAATCTTATAATTAGATAAAGTAGTATTAAGAGTCCGGACCCGGTCTCTCTTAGGATATAGGTTCTAGTTAACTTCGAGACTAATTATCTAAGTATATAACTTAATAACTATCTTACTATTTTTCTAATAAAGATCTCAAAGCTCCTTAAAGATATCTTATTAATAGGTTTAAGATATTTAGAGTATATTAGCCAAGTAGGCCTTAAATTACTTCTAATAGACCTTGTATAATAATAGGCTTTACTTTATTATAGCTTTCTAAGTATTATGAGATTTATTTCTAAAAGTACTTATAATAGAGTTAATTCTAGAAAAGTATTTATTATAAATTCAAGATTAGGTTCTAAAAACTACTTTCTAGAAAGATATAAATATTCTTTATTTCTTAAGAGACTTTCTATAATATAAGTTAGGCGTCCGGACCTTAAAAAGCTTCTTTTAGTCTAAATATATTTTTAGGATATTATATAGTAGCTCCTAATAAATAGTATCGAAATTATTCTCAAAGCTTATTATATTAGGAAAGGAAATAAGTTCTAACCCTATTTTAGGAAGTTCCCTAATAGGAATTACTAAGGAAAATAAAATAGATTTATAAATAGAGTTTCTATAAGATATAATAAACCATAAGATATTTCTGAGGATATCCTTATATTACTCTAACTATAGAATATATTAGTTAATTATATTTACTAATTATTGCTTTTATTAGAGTACTTTAACTTTAGTATATAATCTCTATTTTATAGCTTAGGTAATAGTAACTTGGGTATTAATCTCAATATCTTAATTATTACTAGAATTACTTCTGTTATTATTACTAGCTCTCGAAGGCTTCTAAAGGGCCTTATTAAAAGTATTAGACAAGCCTTTACTATTACTTATATTAGGATTAATCTAGTTAACTTTCTCTATAGAAATAGCTCCGGCAAGAAATTATATATTTTGCAGATTTCGAGATATAATTACTTATTAAACTATATTCTTTAAAGATAAAGAGATTAGCTTATAAGGTATTTATTAGTAAGTAATAAGATAATAAAATAAATTAGTAAGTTATGAAACTATAGTATTAAATTTAGTATAGAACTAATCTCTATCTTTCTTATAAGGTTCAGGGAAGCCCTCTCTAAATAGAAGGCCCCGATAATATATATATAATTAGTAATTTATAAGCCTAATACTTATAATATAAATAATAGTTAGTTATAAAATCAAAGGACCGCCGATTTCCTTAATTAATACCCGCAATATCCGAGATTCATTATATGCCCTTAAGTCACGTGCGACCCTGCACATATTACACTTATAATTAACTATAGTTACGTGACTATACTTCAGCTATTTAACTATAATTAGGCATATTTACCTATAGTAAATACTATAGTCTTTTGGCCTAGTAAACTTTAATATAAGCCTAATTCTTATATATTATATAATTATTTATTTAAGAAAAAAAAGATTAAGTATTTTAAATATTAAAAAGAATAAAGTTAATAGTATTTCTTTAATTATAACTTTTTACTAGTTATAAAAAATATATATAATTTTATTATATTTATATTCTTATATTTATATAAAAGAAAGCTATATAATAAGGGTTTTTCTTTCTTGTATTATAATAATTATTATGTGTTTTATTTCTTAAATATATTAGTATTACTTTAAGAAATTATATAAAACTTTTATTTATATATATAATTAGTTTTTCTAATATATTATATTTTAAAGTTCCTTATTTTTAATCTTTGTTTTATTTCTTATTATTATTAAAAAATATTACTTTTAAATACTTTATTTATTACTTTTCTTTTATTTTTTCTTATATATTTAAATATTTAAATATTTAAGTATTTATATAATTAAGTATTTATATAATTAAGTATTTATATAATTAAGTATTTATATAATTAAGTATTTATATAATTAAGTATTTATATATATTTCTTTTCTTAATTTAATATTATTAAAATAAGAATTACTTTATTTTGCCTTTAAGTTTAAAGCCAAGCTTTATAATAATTATAATAATAAAGTTAAAATATTAAAACAAAGTATTAAGATTTATTTTCTGTTTTTTTTATAAAAAAAATTAAAGCTAAAGAAAAAAAGAAAAAGTAAAATATAATAATAAATAAATAAATAAAACTAAATTATTAAAATATCGAGCTTAGCCTAAAGCTTAGTTTAAAACTAGCTTATATTAATTATAAAATAATATTTATTATAAGTATTAATAATATACTTATATTTCTAATACTCAAATACTTAATTAAAGCTTAATATAAGATATTAAGGAAGTATTTCAAGCCAAGAAGTAATTTAAAAGAAGAATAGTATATAAAAGCCAAGTATTTAGCTTATAAAACTCTATTCCCTCATTTGCTAAGACATTGCCAGGCGCTAGCAAAGGGGCCTGGCTCAGACTGTGCAGGCGTACTCTTGCTTATAAACTTATTAGTCATCTATCCCTTTTCGCCCTGAGCCAGGCCCCTTGCTAGCGCCTGGCAGAAATCAAGCTTCACTCCTTTCTGTCAATCCATCAGGATCACTACGTAAGTAGAGCGCAACTCCTTCACCGCAACCATTTCAATTTTGGGATACAGTACATGTGATATTTCGCCTTCATTTTATCGCACAGACCAATGGCAAACCTAACCCCAACCCAAACGCGTGACTTGACTACGCCCGCAAAATATGGCCATATGGCGTTCGACATGTTTCTCGCGGTAAGCATTCGCTTCGATGGAACATAAAAGTGCACATTTAAGGTCCAGAAACTTATTAATATTGTACGCGACAAAGGAGCGATGGGATTATGCCGCCGACACGACACAAGATAAGCAACAATGGGACTCGCTCGCGCGCCAGTATCTCGCCATGGTGCCCAGGGAGCGATATGTGCGCACTTTTACTGTACTTTCACACATATCTACTCTCTAGGGCCTCTTGCTCTGCTATGTTTTGTCCGCTCAGCCTGGCGCTAACTTGAAGACAATAAAAGCCATATCATATAGAATCCGCGCGGCGTATGGCCAGAAACTACGATGCAACAGGAACAACAGGCTCGGAAGCTACCATTACCACCCGTATACTGCCCCGTTTTCAGACAGTCCAGGAGCGCATTTTCTGTGGCCGCAAGATTACTCATGAATCCCATCCCCCGGCTTTGCTGAGGACGTATTATGGCGACGTTAATGGGCAGGACCAGGATGGGGCTCACAAGGTCATGATTGGGAATGCGATACTTAATAACCTCGTTGACAAGGACGGGACGTGGAATGACAAGGCTCTATACGACTTTGGCGACGATTGGCAGCGCCTGCTGCTGCGCGTGCCGGAGCTGTGTGATCAAGAGCGTCACTCCACCGAGGAGGACTACCGCGAGAGCGAACATGAAGAAGACATCGAAGCCCCCCCAGCTAGCGATCGCGAGGCATTGGAGCGGTGGCTGTGGTCTCGTAACGTCGCCATTCGGCTCTATGTCACCGATCGCGAAGCCATGGAAAGTGGCAAAATCAAGGTTTTCTACCTCGACACCCACGGCGATGCCATATGGCATCACAAGGTCAGCGCCGAGAATCTGCTGGAATATAATGGCGCTTGGAATTCCATGAGCTTGGCTGAGATCAATGCCTGCTTCTCATCCTCTCAGGTGAATGGTTGCGAGTTATTCATTTGAGCTGCGGGTACGTAGATAATCTACACGCCACACTATGGATACCTAAAACTACATGTTCTGAGAACAGAAAGACTTCTCTACTTCCTGCACAATCCGCCTAGTTGAGAATCTCATCACTAATTTGCTTCATAGCCGCACTTGGGAGACACACGGCAGGAAAAGTTGTACTAGTAGGCAGAGGCCCAGTAGTCCTAGCACCACAATATGGATGCAACAACTCGTAGCACGTATGGCCCAAATACTCCCACCTGAACCCGTTCTCAAAATCCCCTTCAGTTACAGGACAATGCACCCCATATCTTTCTATCAGTGCGTTAGCCGTCGCATCACCTACCATGGTCGAGGTTGGGAAAGGTGTTCTTGGAAACAGCTTCGTGCGAACTGTCGAGTTGGGTGCCACAAACCCGACTATCGCTACTGTTGTCCAGGAGCCTATTGGTATCACCCAAGTGTTTCCCCATGTCACAGTGAGGTTGACTGGTGTGTATTCTTCTGTGCTCGGTGGCCTATGCGTTTAACAGTGACGATTAGAAAAGGGGTAATATTGCGAAAGACAGAGGTACTTTGGGTTTTCTGGAAAATTACAAGATGCAGATTGTCCTGTCCACGAGAGCGTCAATATTGCCGCAATCCCTCGGCCAGATGACCGAGTTCCACTCCAGTAGCTCAGTCAGCGTTATCCCATGTTCGTTCAGAATGGAGGTGCATGTGTCGCCCGCTTGGATCTGCCATAAAATATGGGTAAGCCTCACTTCCTTGCCCATTCCGCTTCAGCCCCTGGAAGTCATTGGACTGACTTTGTACAAAACACACTGGCTCCCAACACACACCGTTCGGTTCATCACTGGTTGCGAACAATTCCAGTTCATCTCGTCCTGGTGCAGGAATCGATCGGTTGCGATCGAGTGGCATGTATCACCTTTCTGCGTCCCGTCGTAGCAACCGCCAAAACAAGTGATTTCTCGGAGCTCAGTGGGTCTAGAAGAGTCAGCCAAATTTTTCGTGCGGGAGTTTTCTAGAACTTCTCCCTTCTTGCAGCTATAGAACAAGTTCAGTAGACTTACACGGCAACAGGCGGCGCAGTCCAGGTAGACGTGGGATAATCGCTTGGATTGGCGCAACACTGGTCGAGCAACGACGTCCAATCGCCGGAGCTCACACGTCCGCTTCCATACCACGAGCTCAACAACGCGGCTATATACTTGAGGAAGCAGTTGCTGCACTTGCTATCTGCGAGAGTGTTGGCGAGCAGCACACCGCAATACTGGCAAGTTGCGTTGTCGGTCAAACAGGCTGTGTGCTGAGCCCAGACAAAGTCTGAGGCTATCGAGGCCGGGTTGATGCTGCCTCATCCATCTCTCGCATAGTTCGAATCGGTGCAGGCACTATTGACAGATTTTACCCAGCTCTGCACTATAAGAATTCATGATTGGTTTCTTGTCCTCAGTGTGTCATTCTCTCAAGGAATGGCTCCTTCTTCTTACCTCAAGTGAGCTTGTACGGTCATTAGTGCAATGGTTCTCTAGATCTGTTGCGTTACTGGGTAGTTGACTCGTCATGTCTGAGATTGAATAAAGGGCGTTGAATGAGATGTTGGTTGCAAGCGCCTGTTTGCACGCCGTCGTCATGTTTGACGATAGTTGGCTCGTATCGTTCCATCTCTGAAGGCAGCAGATGGCCGTCAAGTTTGCAAGGACGAGAAAAAGAATACTCGATGCTCCCAGTCGGGCTCTCGTCTTTGCTGATTAAGGTCGAATACTTCCTCGATTGTCTTTCTTGATAGCAAGAGTTCTATGTATTTCTTGGGGGCTCGATGAGGTGCGGCCGGTGCCAGAATAGTCAGGGTAGTCTCTATAACCGCAAAAGAAACCCGAACGGCTTTAATTGAGGTCCGAAGAGATGACGGAAATGTTGAGTATGAGAAACCTCAGCCAATTCCGCAAGCAATTTTACCCCTCTTCCGCCCCTCCTCTCTCTCTCTTACGCGCATCGGCTAGAGTTTCCCTGCCGAAAGTTCTCTCGATCTGATGACTCTTCAGATCGAGCATGTTTCCCTCCTTCGAACGTAATTCGGCATCGACCAGGTATCACCAAGCTAAATATGCCTTGTCTTGTTGTTGATTGCCGATAGTGACAATTCCAGGTTCTACTTTCTCAGCCCACCATCTTTGATTTGGAGATCATTCGGCTTACATGCATGTGAAGTCACACAACCGCAAATGCAAGGTAAAGCAACTTGTAAGAATCAGCGCTTTTCGTCTGTGCGCACATTTTTCGGTTTTCGTATGCTTTTCCCCATTATACCTCTTTTTTCAAATTCAACCCCCTTATAACTTCTTTAATTTAAGTCTAAACCTAATAAAAAGTAAATCAAAATACGCGCATATACTAGAGCTGTTAATTTATTAAAGGGCTTAGTTTCTAGAAGCTTAAATATAAAGTTATAAAAACTACTTTAAAAAATAAGGCACAGCTCGTAAAGGGCACAAAATGCCGGATTTCGATATTTTTCGTATATAAGAAATAGAGATTTTCTTTTAGAACACTCGCATTATAACCTTAATAGCTAGTACTCTTTACTCGCTTTGTTTATCTTTATATATAAGTATTATAATAAGGGTTTTAGTTCTTATAATTACGTGATATAATTATATAATATTAGAAGCAAATAGCCCGTATATATATTACTTTATACTTCTTTTCTCTTCTTAGAAAATTAATTAATCTTTACTCTTTTTAGGTTTTATTTATATAATAATTGGAAATAATTAAATATTTTTAATTATAATTAGTCTAATAATTAATTTTTTCCTCGAAGGTTAATAATTAAGTTATAATTAATTACTATAATTTTTTTAATATACTAGATTCAGGTTACTTGATTAAAGTAAGGCCATTATATTAGAGAAGGATATATTTATTATGGCACTGGCTTTAATTATTTGCAAGAGAATAGTTTTTGGGTATTAGATGAAGTAGTGCTCTGCGGGACCGTTTCTGACCAGCTCTGGGACATCTATTTTTACGGGGGTCCCGTTCTGGCTCCCTCTATACAGCGAGTGTTCAAGTGTAGTGAGCGTGGTGGTGAGCAAGCCCTAACCGAGGATCTGTCCTGGCCCATTTGTCCTGGAACGAGGGGGTTTCTAGGACAAATCTTCCAGGCCTATCAGCCACCTGGGACGGCTGACGCCGTAGGAGGGCTGTCCCGGCTGTTGTAACTTGGAAGATATGTCCTACAGAGATTCAGCTAGGACAAATGTGCAAGGATACATGCCGTGCTGCAACGTAAACCGCCGTGGCCATCCAAAGGCGGAGCATGAGAAAATAAAAATTGGCTGTGTGCAGAGAAGAGAAGTTTAGGGGAAAGCTATTCCGGTATTCACATAGGCTGGGCCAAAGAAGAATCAAAGGCAATGGCACGCAATTGATATGCTTGACAGCATTAGGACAGTCGAGCATCGTGCTTCGAGAGCGGGTCTTCAAAAAGGTTAAAGCATGATTGAGATACTAGCTACCAAAAAAAGGAATGAGTTCATCGTGGTCACATTTCACATCCCTCCGTGTCGTTCGTCGAAAACAAATAGAAAAGGAAAGGAGCTCCAAGGAAATGGGAAAGCAAAGTAACCATAACTTATAACCTATTCGACTTCCAACCAACTCTTTCCTTTTCCGCCTAAATTCCTTCCTCCATTGAAATCTCTTTTACCAATTTGCCAACTTATGCCGCTTACCCTTAAATTTCAACTCCTCCGCGCCTCCACTGATTCCTTCCGCCCCTCAATTGCCTCTCCCGTGTTTCTTGCGCTGGTGGTCAAGGAGCTTGTCAGCGCGATAAAAAGCCCTGGCCCCATGACGGTTGCACCCAGGAATGTCACAGGGGTGCTGAGGGATGCCATGCTGCTTGCTATGTCGAGCGAGGTCACCCGGGCGGGCGAACATTTTTCCACATCCAGCGTAGCCGCAGGTATGCGCGTTAGTATCGACGTTGGAACGTCGAGATGTCACCCCTCTGGCAATGGGACGAGGCACCGCAGGTGCAGTGAACATGTTGGTAGCATGGATAGGTAATGCTGGGGCGGCAGGCATGCTGGTAGTGGTGGGAAGAGGCAACTGATTGAAGTTTGCCATAGTCTCTTGAAAATCGAAATCATCGTACTGAGTATCCGAACTGGGGTTGACGAAGCTATTACGCATGACGCTGAAGTCATTGTAGACAGGGACCTGGACGGTTGGATCAGGCTGACCGTTTTCGATGGCATTAGGATACATGTCGACCAAGCACAAAGTGGGGGTGAAGGGTTGACCCAAGCCTGGTGTCACTAAGCTTTGAGCAAGCCCATGAGAAGCTGGATCCCCTGCAGGAAGCGGAGTGGAGACATTGGGATTCCATCCATTATTCCATCCATTATTGGCAGTGCTCGGTGACCAGATAGGGATATGCTGGTCTCGGGTTACGGTCGCATCTGGAGTCCCTGCAAGTGCCTGATTGGGGGAGGCGTTATGGTTGGTAGATGTGACGAGCGAGTCGACGTCGCGGTGATTGCCATCGCCGTTGGTGAAACCGGGACTTGGCGCTGCTAAGGGCCAGGGGTTCACAGGAGGGCGAAGCCAAGCCGATTGAAAGGCTACAAAGCGGATTGGTGGAGGTGTTGTGCTCTCGCCGCTGCTGGAGGCATACCTGCATTTTCGTTAAAAAAAAAATTCTATCTTACCCGGCGTGACAATTGCTGCAATAGGCAGCTGGTTGGCCGAGGGCATCGATGTGACTGTCTGTCGGCATAATTTCCTGAACCAGAGGGCGACAAATAAGGGGAGCGTGTGAAATAGGGCGACGAAGAAGGGCGGATAAGGGCGAAAGTGGGCGAAAGCGGGCGACTAATCGGTAAAAGTTGAGAGGATTTCGGATGCTGTCGAGGTGGAGAGGCTCCGCGAATTTGAATGGAACATTGAGAGGGGCAGTTGGTCTTTAACATTATGGGAGGCCTGGGGCGAGCTTCCATCTTTTTTAGTCCCATGCATCAACTCAGCCCTCGTGCGCAGGGGGCTATTCGTTGGGCTGCTAGGCTGCCACAGCGCCCGGGGCCTCGCTTAAATCAAAGGAACATTGAAAGTCTCATACTGCCAATCTAGACTACGTAGCTGAACCTTTATGAAAATAAAAACAAACTATATATTTCTATAGCTTAAGAGGCTATTCCTTATGAACTTTTGGTTTCTGAATATCATATAACTGTGTGGCGAATTATTGAGGTCTAAAAGAGAGGACAAAATCGGTAGGCAAACCCGGGCGCTGTGGCAGCAACGGATACACGAATAACCTTGCAGTGTACAAGTGCTTCCGTAGCGTATCGGGAGGCCTCATACGAAATCTGGCTCAAATCAGGCAGCGCTGACGCCCGATTTCGGTCAACAAACATCCGAGCTGGCATTGCCACATCCACATCCTTTGATACAAAATTTAATCCAACAGACATCATGTCAAGTCTACAGAGAGACAATCGAATCAAAGGGTTGATCAGATGCGAATCATGCACTGAATCTTTTGCTTTGCGCGGACAGCTTAAGTATTGCCCCGGTCCATTTTGAACTTGTCAGCTAGGCTAACGGCTTCTTCAGCCGCCATCGTAAAACCCACACGAAACCATACCGTTGTGATCACTGCACGGCAGGATTTGCTCTAAGATCCGACCTTAATCGGCACAAGGCCAAACACGGCGGACGGGCCGACACGAAATTCTACTGTGCATGGCCCGGCTGCCATTTCAAAGGCACCTGGCGAAGGGACAATCTTTTGAAGCATTTACGCAAACCGCATGGGGGAAAGAATGTCACAGAACAAGTTCGGGCGGCCTACGAGAAGGGCCTGGAGGAACAGAAGAAAGCGACAGACCGTCTGAGCTTCATGAAAGCTGTCCAGAGTGGCCATATCCCAACGGTGAGACAATTGCTACTGTTTGGGGCAGACATCGCAGTGAGAAACGACACAGGGAAGACATCACTACACGTCGCTACGCTGAACGGGGATGTGGAGATGATACAAGAGTTATTGGGCAAGGGCATCGATATCGAGGCTAAGGATGACGACAACATGGCAGCCCTTTACTATGCAGCCAGGACCGGGAACGAAGCAACTTTACGGATTCTTGTACGACATGGTGCTGGTGCTAGCATTATAGAGAGAAATAAGAAAGGCGACACAATGCTCCACGACGTCTCCCGTTCGGGTAATGAAGGAATTGTACGCCTACTAGTGGACCGGCTAGTGGAACTCGATGCAGACGTGGATACACTGGACAAGGACCAAACGACTGCACTATACCGGGCTGCTGAAAACGGGCACAGCGCGGTGGTGGCGACGCTACTGGAGGCAGGCGCTGATAGGGTTGAAAGACCGAAGCAATCATCTACTTCCATTGACAGCCAGAATCATCGCAAGACTGCACTACGAGTGGCCGTAGCGAATGGTCACGAAGCAGTTGTAGATGTTTTACTAGCTGCTGGCTGTGAAGCAACCAACTCAGACTTACGAGCAGCCATTAGGGGTCACGGTGAAGCAGTGATGGAGAACCTTGTGGCCGCTGGTGTCGACGTTGACGGTACTTCTCGTGGTAGGACCGCCTTGCATACAGCTGCACAAAGCGGCAATATAGCAGCTGTGAAGAAACTCATAGCCCTCGGTGCGAATGTTAATGCTGCTACTGGTGGTTTTAAAGGTGAAACTATCCTGCAAAAAGCTGCAAGATGGGGCCATGAAGCAATTATGGAGAACCTTGTGGCTGCTGGTGCCGACGTTGACGGTACTTCTTGTGGTAGGACCGCCTTGCATACAGCTGCACAAAGTGGCAATATAGCAGCTGTGAAGAAGCTCATAGTCCTCGGTGCTAATGTTAATGCTACTCCTGGTGGCTATAAAGGTGAAACTGCCTTGCAAGAAGCTGCACGCGGGGGCCATGAAGCAATTGTGAGAGAGCTCATAGATGCTGGTGCTGATGTAAATGCTCCTCCTGGTTCTTATGATAGTACTGCCCTGCAAGCAGCTGCACGCGGGGGCCATGAAGCAGTTGTGAAGGAGCTTATGGCTGCTGGTGCTGATGTAAATGCTCCTCCTGGTTCTTATGGTACAACTGCCTTGCAAGCAGCTGCACTCGGGGGCCATAAAGCAATTGTGAAGGAGCTCATAGCTGCTGGTGCTAATGTAAATGCTCCTCCTGGTTCTTATGGTACAACTGCCTTGCAAGCAGCTGCACGCGGGGGCCATGAAGCAGTTGTGAGGGAGCTCATAGATGCTGGTACTGATGTAAATGCTCCTTCTGGTTCTTATGGTACAACTGCCTTGCAAGCAGCTGCACGCGGGGGCCATGAAGCAGTTGTGAGGGAGCTCATAGCTGCTGGTGCTAATGTAAATGCTCCTCCTGGTTCTTATGGTACAACTGCCTTGCAAGCAGCTGCACGCGGGGGCCATGAAGCAGTTGTGAGGGAGCTCATAGATGCTGGTACTGATGTAAATGCTCCTTCTGGTTCTTATGGTACAACTGCCTTGCAAGCAGCTGCACGCGGGGGCCATGAAGCAGTTGTGAGGGAGCTCATAGATGCTGGTACTGATGTAAATGCTCCTTCTGGTTCTTGTGGTACAACTGCCCTGCAAGCAGCTGCATGCGGGGGCTATGAAGCAGTTGTGAGGGAGCTCATGGCTGCTGGTGCTGATGTAAATGCTCCTCCTGGTTTTAATGGTACTGCCTTGCAAGCAGCTGCACTCTGGGGCCATGAATCAGTTGTGAGAGAGCTCATAGATGCTGGTGCTGATGTAAATGCTCCTCCTGATGGTTGGTCTGGTCAAACTGCCCTGCAAGCAGCTTCAAAGTGGGGCTATGCAAAGACTAGAGAAATTCTACTGGATGCTGGGGCAGTTAAATAGATGCAAAGCTTTATTTGGGGCTAGTAAGTCTCGACCTTGTTATCGAGAAAAAAAGGCAATGGTTGACCGATTTTTGATGCAGAGCAAGAGTGATAAGTAGCTAGGAAATGAGAAAAGTCAAGAAATTTGGATGGGGTCTAACGAGTAGTTAAGAGAGAATTGATTTTAGTATCCTTTAATTTTATTGCATCAAGAAGACACAGAACTTGAAGAGTGACAATAACATGAGACTCTCTATTGCTATATGAACACGCTTCCCCTCGGATATATCGCGGTATAGTACCGAGAACGCTGCTTCAGTGGGATGAAGAAGGCCATGGGATTGAAAAGATGCAATTAGTACGCACCTACTCTCACATTCAATGCTTCTTTCACAGACGCCATTGACGGCCAGAAAAACTTGGTGTATGTGTATCTAAAAATACATTCCATCTAAAAGCAGGGAAAAGGGGGTGGGGGACCATGCCGCAAGAATGATATCCAACTACCCCATCTGCCTCACTTCTACGAAGGCTGACAGTCAAGTTCGAAGAAACTCACTCCACCGCCAAATAGTCTCGTACAAAACCTCGTAACTCATTTCGAATATCCCCGGTGCCAGAGACTTCCATTCATTCGTACGATCACGAGCGTAAAGGTTATAGCAATTAGATGGATGCATTTGCGAGACGGCAAATACTCCAGAGCGCGAGGTTCTGCAATTAGCTCTCTAGTATCACCTATAATATTATTTCTCATAATTAATATAATTATATTCAGGAGATTAGGGGGCGAAATATCTCTTATAGTGGAGGCCGGTGAGGATGGTGAGGTTAAGGTGAAGCGAGGGTGAGCAGAGCGGCGAGGTGTCACATGCGCGGTAGCTTGGCGCACCCGCAAAGTGAAGTGAGGATTGGCGCGAAACAACAAGCTGTACCTCTAATTCACAGCAAGCAGCTTTTCAATCGTCTTTATACCTTCGCGTTGGGGTGATCAGGAATGAGACGACCTGCAATGCGAGGAGGTATTTTATCGTTGATTATAATGGGCATGGGAATCGGGGTTGTTTGTAATATGCTCCTCTTTCTCGAGGAAGCTTGCAAGGCCCATAAGATAATAATGGATTTCTGCGAACTTTCGAGGCCAGTTTGCATGCTAGGCTTCTTGATAGTAGCAGGGCCGGCCAGAGATAGAATAGCGGCGAATTGCCGTCCAGGCCTGGGTGTATCGATTATCCGCTATCAAAACTTTAATAGACCGATCATGAAACGTACGGTTTGCTTTGTGAGGAAGATGAAGTGTTGAGCTCTCTAACGTTCTCTTTTGCTTGAATAATCTATCGCCCGACCGATCTCATCTACTAACCCAGCAGCTAGACATTGTTCTCTCAATTCTTCAAGTTTCCCTTTTGCTTCTTGTAGCATCATTGATATTTCGTTCTGTTCAGCGTCGGACCTCTCCAGCCAAGCTTTTTCTTCCGGCTCAAGGGATTGATTAAATCGCTCACGCCGTTGGCGCTTCCTTTCGAGTGCTTTCTTCGAATGTAGAAACCTATCCAGCCGCTCCTCAAGGAAATCGCTATCCGCCATTTTGATTAAATATTTCGAAACTAAAGGATGAAAAATGCGGTCATCTTCCCCAATCGTACCTGATCTTAGAGAAGGGAAATCGGGAATCGCCGAGAGAGTCGGGCTCCAATCTATAAGCTTCTGAGTGAGGAGCAAGTGGTTGCGAGCCGAAGTGACCTCTTCAGCGTTGTTTTGGTCATCGCTGGCAAGCTGAACATCAAAGTCAGGGTCAGGTTTGAGGTCATCCCGACTGTCGACCGCACCATCGGAAAGTTCGCATAGCTGCTCGGCGCCGGTGGCCGCTTCGTCGATGTTCCAGACAGCAAGGATCGGAATCAGCCAGTTTGGAGAAGTGGCTGGTGTCAAATCGGCGGTCACTTTCCCGGACGCGAGGAGCAACCTCAATGGAAGTGACTTCGTAAGGCTTTGCAAAAACCAAGCGTTGATTCTCTTTCTCTGCGTGAATCCATCTTGATGAGGGGCATCCTTACACACTTCATTTTTTATTTTGCTTATAATCAGTGATTCCAGTGCGTGCGTATTGTCGAAATACCCGTCGTTGCCAGATACAAATAGCTCCTCTAATAGACATCCTATTTTATATCGTGCGTCGTTCTGAGTGTTTCCTGCCGTGCGGTACCAGTAAGATCCGTAAATTTCGCATGGTTCCAAGCTATACGCTAGATAGTCGGAAGGTTCTGGCAGGCCACACTCAGCTAGAGCCATATTCAAGCAAGCTCGAATGATTTTGCCTTCAGAAGATCTCTCAACGGCCTCTGAAGGGTGTTCATCGCTGAAATGCTGGTCACGAAGCAGAGGTAGAGGTTTCCTTTTCCTGCAAAAGAGATCATCAGCCCAATGGATCCTTTTCGCCGCGTGAAATGTGTCGAGATGTAGCATCAACTCATCCCAGCTTTGATATGTGATCATAAGATTGCACTTTCCGAATGAATGAGCTTCCGCAAGGTGTCTGCCTCTCTCGTGAGAGTTTTCTGGTCCCCATTGAAACACGGAAAAGCAGTATATGCACGAATATTTGGCATTCCCAGTTTCAATAAAGCCGCCGTCTATTCCTGAGATCGAGTCGCAACACCATTCATCTTCAGTCTCGGCAATTTTGGCATTCGTAATCCCAGGGGCTTTCACTGAATGCTTTTGACTGACGTCAGAGACGTTAGCCATCTCAAGGAGTTGCGACATTTGCGACGCAAGACTCGATATGCTGTGAGAGAGACTGTGGATGCTCTGCTGACTCTCAGAATGATTCGAACTCATCCGGTCGAAATGATCTTCAATCGAGGTCTCCAAGGGTCGAAGTTGGCTGCCAATGGCTTCCGAGATGGCCGCCTCATGAGGCCGATCTTCGGCGGAAACCGCAATCTGTTTGTTGATGCTGTCGTTCAACTTCAAGTGGGCGTCAGTTAGCCCATCGAACTTGGCTGATAATTCAGCGACGCGTGTGAAGCCAACTTGATCCATCCATCTAGACACCATATTAGTACAAATTTGATCCTGCATGCAATGTAAGTCGTGACACACCTGCCCAGGACAGACAGGCTAAGGCCAAGGCGCTGTCGATGACCCGATATCTTTCTCCCCATCTCCTCAAAGCCACTCTTGTTAACAGCTACCTTCACCTTTTTGAAGAACGCCCAGACACCGTTCTCCGAGCTTGGATCCGAGTCCGTGGTCACCTGCACCCATGCTGTGACTTCCATCGCACATGTTTTCAGCCGAGACTTCAGGGTCGAAATATTGGAAACGGTCTTATACAAGGCAGTGTGTAGATTTCCGCTATCATTTGATGCCTGCTCGAGTCTGGCGACAAGCCGTTGAATATCTGTGAGCGTGAATGCAAGAAATTGCAATTCATCCAGCAGATCAGCGGTCCTTTGCCGCGCGAGAGAGACGTCTTTGAAGAACGCGTGGAGCTGGTTGACTCCTTGAAGAGCCTGGCCGCTGAAGGTTCCGATGCTGGCAAGGCTGGACTCCATGATCCATAAGCGTGGTGCGACGAGTCATAAGATCTTAGACAGACTGTGTGCTAGTGGCAACGACGAACATCGCCATACACATGCGACCGCATTTGCAAAAGTTGAATGAGAATGAGAAACGGCTTCGTGAGGGAAATGGGAGCTTTAAGGTGGGGTTGTGGCTGCTGAGAAGTTTTGGCAGTTGCGTGTAAGGCTCCGCATGAGGCGTTCTTGCCGTGAGAGAATGGGATGGGAGCACCGGCTGCGACTCCAAATAGAAGACGACTCAACCCTAACGCACCAAAATACGACCCCTGAATAAATACCCAAAACGGAATTTTTGCTTGCACAGCTTGGATGGCCAGTTGAGCTCAATGGCCTGGAACTACCAGGACAACCAACCTGCTAATCAAAGCGACAAACTAACATGCATCTCCGGAACGCACCGGCACATTACTGCTGAATGTCCCCAAAGTCACCACAAAATCAAACCAAACACTCAGAAAAGAGCAAATCCATTCTCCCATCTAAGCCCATGTATCTAAGCCGCGAAACCCAACCCCTGCAGCTGCTCTCTCGTGACAACTCCATCCTCAACCGCCTCAATAATCATCTTCTCCACGACATCCCCTTGCGAGCCCGCGAGCATCCCCGCAAACACCCCTTGCATCCCCATTCCATCCCCCCTCAACCCCTTAACCAAACCCTCCTTCACCGCGCCCTCGCCCTCAACACCCTGTTCCGCGGCAGCTCTTGCAACATTCTTCCCGCCGCGATAGAAAACCTCTGCATTTTTCAACAGCACCTCTGCACTCTTCTTCGCAGCCGCGAAACCGCGTTGACCCATCTGGTACCGCAACATCTCGACGTCGCCTCTTAGGACATGGACTGCGGCGAGGTTTTCTACGTCTGGAAGTTTGGAGGCTGTAGTGAGGGTGACGAGGGCGGTGGATAAGGCTTCCCAGCTCAAGTTCAATGTGTCTTCATAGAGGAGAACATTATTGTGGAAGGTGATCCTTGCTTCGGCGGACTTGACCAGGGCTTCGGGGTTGGATTGTGCGGTGGGGAAGCTGTACAATTGCTTGATTATGTCGAAGTAGGGTTGTACGTTGAGGAGGCCGTTGCGGAATTGTAGGTCGGAGAGAGCAGCAAAGTACTCGTCGCGCGCGAGGGCGGATTCGATGTCCCGGCCTGTGCCGATACAATATGCGTCGAGTTTTATTTCGATGATTCCGGTAGCGTAGTCTTGGATGAATTGTAATGCTTGGCCTAAAGAGGAAGGAGGTTAGGTTGATTGTACCAGAGAAGTTGGGAAAATAGGACGGGGAATGTAAGATTACCGGAAGGGACTGGGAGAAGCGAGCACAAGAGGGAGAGGGTGCGGAGTTGGGCGATGATGGTGTCGAGGAGGGAGGGGTTGGTTACTGGCTCAATGATCGTTGCCCTGAGAATGTCAGTTTTGGCTGTTCCGGGAGGCCCTGGGTACAACGGAATTACGAACCAGCGGTTATCCTCGAATTCAGCCGGTGGTGAGGAAGGGGCTTCAAGTGGTAGGGTGCGATTTGTCGATGGAGTAGCTGTACAATGTCAAATCAGTACGCGTTGAATGTATCACAACTGAGAGAACATTGAGAAAGGATGGAAGATGAATGTTCCAGTGATCTTGAGACACTCAAATGAGGATAATGTACATACCAGGTTCAGAGTCGACATTCATTGTGGAGCCGGTAGTCAAGGAAACACCACCATCATCTGTATCGGTCTCTTGAGCAGCAGCGGCTTTGGCTTGCACGCGAAACTCTCGGTGCTGAAGTTCTTGATACTCGAGGCATTTCTGGAAGAGTTCGAGAGCTTCCTCAAGGAACGGGAGCGGATCAGTCGCGTTGGACGCGTCTTGCAGGGCTTCGACGTAGCTGGTGAGTGCTTGTGCCGTGTTGCTGAGCAAATTAGCACATGCAATGGTTTGGCGGTTGGAGAACATGTCGCCAATGCATGCTTGGATTGTCCATACAGAGACCTCCATGGTTGGGGATGTGCAAGTAAACAAAGGTGCAAGGAGAAATAGGAGTGATTTTGGAACGTTTGGAACAGATCGGAAGATTGGTAAAATTGTTTAAATAGCCACGCGTAGTGGCCGAATATCGGCAGCATATCTGAGGCAGTGATGAAAGATTCACTGGCAGAAAATTTGAAAATGATGAGGATATGTGAAAGCGAAAGCAAAATGACCTACAATAAGACATCTGCATTCTGCTCATTCAACTTCAATGCATATCTGCTGGATTCAATTGCGGTCTGTAAAAGCTCCAAGAGTGATCCAGGGAGTTGCTGGAGAAGTTTTGGATGCTGTGTGAGCTCATATTGAAGTCGCGCCCTAGTCGCAGAGGTCAGTCACCTGCACCAATCCATTTTCCAGACGAGCCTTACTTGTTGTATGCAAGATCAAAAGAATGAGGGAACTTCTTCAAAGCATCTTCGTAGCAATCAATTGCCCTGACAAAGAATCTGGTCGACTGGTGAAGTCAGTGTGAATGTCACATGACTCGGTCTCAAAGCGAGCAAACTTTTGCAGCATCACCACCTCTCCATTTCTCGCCCGCTTCCTCAAAGTCTACACCCGCTGTAACGATATCAGATCTGCTCTAACAACATTCTGAACATTCCGCACCTGCCAGGTATTCATCTGCCGTCGTTGGAGCCTATTGCAGGTTACTATCTTTTCTTTGTTGAAGGGGCCAATTATCCTACCGATGGGGCATGCTTTGACTTCTTCTTGTTCTCTTTCAGGAACTGCTTAGGTTTGGGCATTGTGAGATATGACAAATAGGCGAAAGGGACAGTGGGGGTAGATGCGGGAGGGTGGTGGTGGTGGTGGGACCAGCGTGCAGGAAATGAGATGGAAGTCAGACGTGTGAAGAGCATGAAGTTGCTATTTTGTGGGTGTTGTCTAATTCGCTAGCCGCCTGCACCAATAGGGTAGCCTCGGCTTCATGTTGTGTCCTGCCACTGCCACAGCCACTGCAAGGCAGCAGTAGGTGTGTGGGTTACTAACACGGAAGGAATAGTAGAAGATGACTTAGTCTTATAATTGTTCCACAAGCCTTTGTGTGTTCTTCTCAGTGTTGTGAATACCACAGTAAGTCATCGACATGGGGCCTTGACTTATCGGCTTCCCTCACGTGGCGTGCCGGGCAATGCCTGAAGTTCCACGTTTCACTGGGCCGCTAGAAGCCCCTTTCTGCCCCTGATCGGCCTTCTCTCGGTGGGCTGCCACGTGCGGGAACTGCAGCAGGCTACCTCGCACAGCTGAGACGGGCAGCGGCATACCCGAGGCTACTGGCCTGCTGGCTGAACTGGCCTGCTTGCTGCTGCTGGTGGTGGTGGTCCGTGGTTGCCGCCCATCTTTGCCCTCCTTTGACTTTGACTTTGACTTTGCCCTCCGCTGCAGAAGAATCCTGCCCTGCCCCTCCTCTCCTCCCTCCTCCACTCACAGCGCTCCCTCGAGTCCCGAATGAGGAACCGTTCCTGTACCACACAGTCAGCACACACCCACATCTACTCTTGCACCGGGAGCAACCCAGTGAACCCACCACCAGCATCGGAACAAAGCCTGCCTGCATTGCGGTCGGATCATCGCAGTAGCCAACGCCAACGCCAACGTCTTTGCGTGCATACTGTACCTGTAGAACCCGAAGCCAAATTCCATTGCGACCAGACCGGGAATCATTGAATTGCACCAGACCCTCGCTGATCCCGATCAGTACTGTACAGTTGCTCTGTGGACAAAGACGGTGCGGCTGGGCTCTTCCTCTTCCCCGCGATTCACTTCCTCACGCCCGAACACCTCACTTCACTTCACCTCCAGACAGACAGACAGCCATCCGATCCCTCAAGGCTCAAACAGCTGGCCCTTTGACGACAGAAGACAAAAGAAAGTTTTCCCTGTGCCTGGCCTGTGACTGTGCCCTTACTAGAGCATTTAAAGGCTCTCGACCCACTTTCAGGGAACTCGTGTTTGAGATTGATCCGCTACCTCGTGGCAACCCAAACGCCTCCGACCGCCCCAAGATCGCACTAGAGCAAGTCCACTTTCCGACCTTCGCACAACAACCAAACCTCCATCAACGCGCGAATCCCACATCTGCGATCTCCTTCTGCGAGCCACAAGCACACAGCCAAGCTATCGGAGAGAATATCGAGTCGAGCCGAGTCGAGCTGAGCAACAGATCGGAAGCGACGGATCCTGAAACATCACATCACATCACATCACATCACCACAATGGGCGCTTCTCTCGAGTCATCTCGCCCCATCATGGCACCAAGTGTAAGCTCCCCCCCCCTCTCTCCCATCACAATCCCTCCTCGCCACGCTTCGCCGTTGTCGCATCCGCTGACATAATATCCTCTCCGCAGCTGTCCTCCAAACGTGCCTCCACCCGCTTCAGCACCTACAGCATGGCCCCCTCGGTCGCCAACACCGTCAAGACCTCCCTCTCCTCCGCCTCCGCACAGCAAGAAATCAAGGACATCGAGGAGGGGCTCGAGAAGCTGGAGAACAAGAAGCTGGCCACGCAGCGCTACGTCCCGAGCACCGAGAAGAGCGAGAACCTGAGCAAGCTGGCGCTGGGGGCGAAGCTGGAGCGCGCGCTAGGCCGGAGAATGGGCGGCCAGGATGCGGTTATGCGGAAGCGGGGTGTCCCCAAGGGTATGGACGTGGAGAATGAGAAGGTTTTGTTGAGTGGCGGGGAGAAGGTCGCTGTTGCTTGAATGATTCATGGATACGACGGCCCGGACACTGCTCTCGACTGGACATTATCACGATATTTACGGATGGATACGATGATTAGATTGGGGATTGGAAGTTGGGGGGAGCGAGGATGGATATTCGATGCATTGGCAACGTTGGCTGATTAACTGGGCTTTGCAGACGACAGAGAATGACGCTGGCATGCAATGGCGTTAATGCTTCTCACTGGAATCTCTGTTTCTTGTTTGCTTGCATGGAAATCGATGTCGCCGCTACGCTTTATACCAAAGACAGGCACAATTCTCCTTTGTTTCTGCTTTTAATACATATCAGGAAGGCGTGGGTTTTCGCATCATGCTAGTAGGAGCAGCACCATGTTCTTTCTCTAACAGATACATAGAGTATGAAGGGCGACGTTGAACAGTTTCCATCCAACTCTCTGCTGGGAAAAAAGAGCCATCTAATCACCGTGCATACTACCCTTCCCTTCTATCACTCTTACAAACAAGATATGCTTCCCCAAGCGGGGAGCTCTCTAAGCATCGTGCATTCCTCACATCTTTTCAAACCGCACACCTCTTCCCTAGCTCCAAAACTCAGCCATCCCAAGCAGGAATCAACCCCCCACCCCGATCTCAGACTGTATGGCGGGATCCGATTAAACGGCCAATATATTTGACTTTCATTCTCAGCTCGAGAGTTGTATCGCATCTCGGCCCCAATATATGAGGCAATGCAGTCATTCATTCATCCATCCCGATCTCGGCAGTCTAAATCGGGAACCATAGAAGGCGAGCTCGAACTTTGCAAGTCGCGTATTCGTACCGCAACTATGAACCTTATCTCTTTGTTGGATAAGAACGATGGATAAGTTATCCAGGGAGAAGAGGAGAAGGGCATGAGGTTTTTGTGGGTTGTGTCAGGTGAATTCAAAGTTGAGTCTTTGTTGAGATTGGATTTGCACTTGTTTCTCTTCTCGGAATTTGTCGTTATTACTTTCGTGCGGCAGAGGGAAATGCCTTATTGTTGGCTGTGTCTTCAGTCAGAGGGTGATTGCACTTGCTTGGAAACAGTATCATAAAACGTCCATTGCCATTGATTAGTTCGTTATTTCTAGATTCCCTGCTTCAGTATCTATCTTTAAAGGGAATTGCTTGTCCTGAATGTCTTCTGATGCTACGCGTCAACCTCGTCTTGATTAGAATTAGGCCCTCAGCCTTCAAGTCGTGGTTATTGTGCTAGTTTCCCCCTTTCTTGCAATAAAGGCTCAATCCCTGGGCTCGGTTGCGTGATTCGCATACTAGTTGCGGTAATCCTCTAACGAACTTGCTGGTCTTGATGGGATATTACGTCCGGAATCTTGAGTTCGGGCTTGGTAGAGTTATAACCTGGCTTTGTTAACTTTGACCTCTTGAATATTCACCCTACCGTACCAAGTGAACCCAGTGAAATTGTCTTGCTCCATCGCACCAACTAAATACCCTTTAGACTTGTTATAAATGACTCCTCTAACTCTTCTCAACAGCGTACAGGCGGACAAAGAGATCCTTGAAGAGAGATAGGAAACCGGATCAATGAGAATGATATGTTTCTATGCATTTCTAACTGTACTGCATCGGAGAGGTGCTGTAGTTGGGTACGATCACTTAAGATGCAGATTATTGGCTGAGGGCTGGGTGACTAAGCTTGCAGCCAGAGCGCAGCCTTGTCACCCGAAGCAGCGCCTCCTCCACTAGTCCTCTCCTTCTATCAGCGTTATTATAGCCTCTCTTCTAGATGCTTCCCTCCTATAATCTCACTCAACAAATCTCTAATATTCATTCGTTCACTAACCATACCGACCGAGGAGAGTTAATTTCCCAAGGCTGTGTGGGATGGACCCCGCGTTCGATGTCCTCTCGTCTGGCGACGAGGCTACAGTATGCCCAGTACCAAGCGACGCATCTACACATCTAAAGTCCTCAGGGCAGAGGTTCCCTGAATACCAACATCTCAGGCTCGTCCCATGATACTTCCAGCGCCAAGTATCATATCACAGACATCTCAGCCTTCGCCACCGACCTCAACGAGGCTGCGGAAAGCTGCCTTCCCAAATAAAGGCCGCACTCGTTATGATACTGTCAGCGTGAACTTGATGCGCTGGTAATATGGTGGACTTGGAATGGAGCCCGAATTGCATCCCCTGGACGAGAAATTCCAAGATTATGGCTTCAAGACCGATACCTGGCTGATACCAAGCCGCGACTCCCATCTAGAACTCATGAGCAAGTCCATTGACCTATTGCGATCAGCAGATAATGACCGCAATCTTTTCATCCTGTACTATGCTGGACACGGGAGAATTAGCAACGCAAGACAAGCGGAGTGGACATGCGGCCAAGGCCCAGACTATACCTCCGTCGACTGATCCGCAATCCAAAGTCTCATCGCAAAAGCAAGATCAGACGTTCTCATCCTGCTCGACACATGTGCGGCAGCAAGCTCAACAATGCGCTCTCAGTACGGAACCATGGAAGCCATCGTCACGTGTGGCTTCGAATCCCGAGCTTCTCCAACTGGCGAGTACTCTTTCACGAACACATTGATCGAAGTGCTCGATAACTGGATCAATAAACGGAGATTCTCGACCTCTTGTCTTCATGCGGAGATTTTGTTTCAATTAAAGTTGAAGGAGACGAAGAAAGGCAGAAAGGGGAGGAGGTTATAGTGGTGCACCACGCCAATTCATATCGACTATACAGCAGACTCGAAGCTTCCTGGTATTGAGTTTTGTCCACGACAAATCCTCCAGCCTCCAGAACAAGTGCCTCCTCTGGAAGAACCTACAAGGCTATCGACATTCATGGATGCGATGGACATTGACTTTGAGGATTCCCATACAGCTCCCTGTCCACTTTTGAGCAGAAGGGACTTGGTAGAATTCCGAACTCCTCATGTCTTGGTCAAGCTAGGCTTAGAGCAAAACCAAGGCCCACTGGACATGCAGCAGTGCCTACGGTGGCTGGAGAGCGTACCCTTTCTTGGAAAGCGGGCCAAGATTGAAGCCGTCTATCCAAGCTTTTCAACATTGATCGTTCTGTCGATGCTGATATCTGTCTGGGATATGCTTCCCGACCACCCTTCTTGTACATTCATCGGATATATTACTGGGCCTAGCTCCCATCCGGAGTCAGCGAAAGCAAAAGGGCTCTCCACTGAATTCCCCGAGGGCCGCCTCTCAAATCCGTCGGCCGCTTTTGGACCCGGAGAAGTTGCAATGGCGAAGCAATTTCCCGGGCCTGAGTTGCCTTCCGCCAGACCATGGTCACATCGCAGTCTTGCGTCGAACCTGACAGCCGACTCCGGTTATCAGGATTCAGATGAATATCAACCACAAACTTACGCCGAACTAATGTTTAAGAGCTGCCTGAAGAGCTCGAACCTAACGCCCAAACCCAAACTCAAGCCCCCAATTAACACACCCAAAAACTTGCATGACCGCATGCTTGACCTTAAAAATGACGTTCCCGACTCGGTTCAATCAACTGCTCTTCCCACCAATTTCGCAACCCAGAGCCTATCTGATGCTGAGGATCTTATACCAACGACATGTTCCCGCTGTCGATTGTACAAAACTCGATGCCGCAGGGAAACGCCGCATTCCATCTGCGTTTCTTGCATTGCTGTGGGCAACCTGAATTATGAGGTATTCCTTGAGTTTAAATGATGTGCTCAAGTGTTGTGCTCGTAGTTCTCTTCTGTTGCTCCTTTTGCTTTGGTGTTGGGGCTTGTTCTCGGAGTTGAATCTGCGCCTTGGATGTGTTGAGTGCATCTTCTCCCTATATGATTGTTTCTCTTACATTACCGTGTTAGTAGTTTCGAAGGATACACTTCAATGTGCTCAAGGAGACGTAGTCATTGAGAATTATCGAAAAGGAAGGTCTTGCTGTGGAGGAGCCTGGCACGTCTCCCTTTTGCATTGCGAGATAAGACGTGTCCTTCTTGCCTACTTCGAGTTAAACGAATGTGAGAATCTTCAAAGGCGTGATCTTTGTATTGGACGGTCGTCTTGTATTGCCATCCAGATTCCAAAGCACGTGAGGAATTTCGACGTTAAGCACCCCTTTCTTTTGGTTTAGAAATCAAGGGCTAGAGAGCAACATCCCCCTCCTTTGGGATACTACAGAACAAGATACTTCAATTCTTAGGAACTAGAAGCAACTCATGCGCAACTTCTCTCTTGTAGATATTTGTGCCTTTTTTTTTTTTTTTTTTTTTTTGCCATTCTACCTATTAAATACATCAAATTCTCGGATTTCCGGTCCCAATCCTCCTGACTTGCCTCTACACTGCATTCCTGAATTTCTTTCATTTTCTCGCACACAAAATCTCCAAAATTTCAACGCGGATGGACGCACTATCCTATCCAGAACTTACTGCGTCCGCCGGTCAAGAAAAAGAAGACCCTGGCCGCAGCAACACACCTCCTTTCACGGCGAGTCCTAACGTCGAGAAATTTGCTCTCGATCTCTCCGACGGTGCTGTACATCAGAGACAACTGCTTCTTGCCTCAAGTGTATTTGATATTCACTACACTACCCCGACGTCGTATACCAATCGAGTTCTTCCCTTCTCCCAAGGTGCTCATTCTCTTCACTGCTACGGCTGTTTCCAGAGCAGCGGCGCCCTAATGTATTCAATGACGGTTACAGTTTTAGGGGTTGGAACCCCTTTGGAGAAATAATAAGACGTGCGGGAACAGAACCTTCAAGAGGTGATCCTGATCACAATGAGTCTGAGAATTCTCTTTACGTAAAGTACTTGGCAGCCTTATGCCCCCCCCACAAGTTCATTTCTTTTTAGCCTGGTTTAACTCGCTTAATGGCTTCATTTGTCTTAGGCAGCCCTGGTAAGGCTCCTCCATGACGCCACAAGCTGCGTGCTTCCATTCTTGATCCCGCCTGCATATCTTCAAATCCTACTGGAGTGCTACCCTAAGAATAAAAGATGTCGCTCTCCGGAGGCCAGAGCTTTTCTTTCTCCTACATTGAACGCAGTTTCACAATGGCCAACTCATTGTTCCAGTCTTCTCAGGACTATTGCGCTCTAATTCGTCGTTTGAACGACACTTCACCTGGATACAAAGGACTCGATGATTTTGTGAACATTAAGAAGGATACTTGTGGAAGCGCCCCAAAATTCACGATCCTTATAGCCAACACAAACGAATCTCAGGAGTCCGGCCAATCCAGCATCAACCGCCGAGATTTCGAGGGTACCACAAAGTTGGCCGAATACCTTCCTCACCTACAAGACCAAAATGAAGCCTGCAACATCTTTCTGGTTGAAAATGTCTGCCCAGAGACTATTGCTCTCTTAGGTGGGTTTTTTGACATCAATCCGCAGTTCTTCGCGGACCACGTAAAGAATGGAGATTGGTTCAAGGATGGAAATTTGATGGACTTACTTCCTGCCCTGCCCTCGAGCCAGAAGTGGCATGACTTCTTGCAAATACGATTTGTTCAAAGCCTCGCAATCTCCAATAAATCTCTTTCCGTCAACTCAACATCGAAATGTGGGCCCCAAGCTGGCGCAGATGTCACGCAAGACCCTTCCCTGGATTATCTAGTCCCTGACGAGAGCATTACGAGACTACCTCGAAAGGCTGGAAAATTGAACCTACTGGAACGAGGTGATGAGAGGCCGGAATTCCTTCTCTGTACGAAGCAGAATATTGCGGTTTGGTTTGGGAAAAGGAGTTCTCAGTCTAAAGGCTGGAGTGGTAAGTGACAGATACGAAATCTTGAATTACTATAGAGCTAAGGTTCTTCAGCCATTTTCCTCATTGACGCCCCGTTCAAGCTCCCTCCAGGTACAGGATTCTGCGGACCTCCAGTATACCGCAGCTTCATGCGCCGTCCGACATTGGCTAATCCATCTATCAATGACATCGGTCCACACGCAACGAACCGCGAAGCCCTTATCCGCCATCTCAAAGAACGTCTTTCGACAGACTCGCACCGCCGCTTAGCCCGCTCAGACTGTTTCTTCGTCCTCGGTGATCTTTATCAGCTGGCGGCCTCGAACTGGATCGTGATCAACGAATATGTCAACCGAGATATCACAACCATCGAATACAAGCTCGAAAGAGAGGAGCATGGGTTTCGAGATCTCGAAGCTTATCTGAAGGAGTTGTTCATCCACCGCCGTCGGGTCACACTCTACATTGAGCTCATCGACGAGACCAAAGAACAATGTGTGAAACGGGGACCTCAAGCCTGGCCACGAGATCCAACTTCGTTGCTTGGTGCCGAGCAGGCTCGCGACTGGGAGGATGATTTCGTGAATCTTCATGCTTGGTTTCACGCTACGTCTCAGAGGATAGAGAAGATCATCCGGCTCCTCACGGCTTTGGTGGAGATTGGAGAGGGGAAGCAGGGTCTTGTCGAGAATCATGGGATTGCTAGGCTTAGTCTGTTGGCCATGGTGTTTCTGCCATTCTCTTCGGTGGCAACGATCCTGGGTATTCAAGGCAGTTTCGCGCCAGGAAAAGGCAAATTCTGGCTCTTTTGGGTTGTGGGTATTGCCTTAACGACATTCGTTGTTGGAATCTTCTTGCTTTATGATCGGATTGTGCAGCGCCTGAAAGCACAGTTTCCTATGTCGGCGAAGATAGGGCCTAAGAGGAAGAGGAATCCTGGAACTCAAGACCATGAGAAGGGGCTATGGGATTTGAATTCGTAACTATTGTTTCTTCATACTCGAGAACCGACTTTTGTCAATTACTCTTGGACTTGGTGTTGCTTTCGTACTTGGTCAAAAATGTACTCAAAGCAGAGTGGGGGCGAAACAGTACAATGTTTTCGAGGGCGAGTATGTCTGAGAAAAGCCTGAGCAACTCCGGCACACACGGAGAAAACCTGAGCGTTCACCTGGAGGCTATCTATTTTTATTTTTTTATTATTTTTATTTTAGCACTCAAGGGTACCGTTTTGGCTCTCTTAAGGTATGGTGACAAGTCTTCGTCTTGCTTTAATCGCATATTCTCTTTTGGCTCCGATTGGTCCGGGGGACACAACCATACTTGCCGAAAATGGCGATATTTGAATCTCCTATACTCAACTTCTGGCAAGTTCCGAGACAGCTACGCCCGGTTAAGCTATTCACAGTTTCAAATGACCACCGCAGCCGGGTTCAAGGCAGCAGATAATATTTAAGCTCAGTTTGAAATTGCTAGTATGTATGATTACTTACAACCATGAGGTTCGCAATAGCCCAGTGAGACTGCAAACATATGAGGCAATTATTTTATCCATATGCTTATTGCCACTTTGCTGTCCTCTCATTAGGAAACACCACGGATCTTCTCCTTTTGTGGCGCATTGTACCTAGTCGTACAGAACAAGGCGAAAAGACACGCCCGAGTGTGGGGAGGAACCCGCAACACGCCCGACTGAGTAGATTATCCAATCACTGTACAAAACATCGGAATCGGGAACGGCAGCTCCAGAATTTATTCTCTCACCAAGCCTCGTCGTAAAAAAGTCTTAAGTAGTCTTAATTGTTCGCCCATCGAGACCAGGGGACAGCCTCGAAATCAGCCCCCGAACTCACTCTAGAGCAAAACGATTCCAACCCCTGCTTTTAAAGTTTCCCTCAAAATATTTAACGCATTATCCAACTAAACAGTTTTGTCTAGCTACCCGATACGTACATCAACGCATCAACAAGCCTTTGCACGTTATCAACTGCAAATGCAGAAGACAGACGTAATGCCTCCTGAAAAGGTCAATTGGTAAGAAGGCTCTTCCTACTCCTACCTCCAAATCACTGATCACTAATCAATGTTTTTGCAGTGGTGCCAAAGAGTATAGAAAGGTGGTAAAGGTCTCGCTTATTTCTACGATCAAGCACTACTTGCTAGGCTTGCTTCGAGAATGCACAGAAATGACTAGAAAATTATTTGGGCATATCTCTCTCTCATGGGTGTCGGCAATTCTGGCTTTGATATTCCCTATCCTCACTACAACTTATGCATTTTATCCACAATCAGTGTCACACCTTCGCGTTATAGGCAGTTCACCCAGCAGCGCACTTCTCATACTCAGAATATTGTCTGAGGTAGGAGGTGTGATGCTTGCTGCAACGATTGCAGCTGCATTCAATACACTGCAAACTATTCTTGTTGCCCGTAATAACCCTCCTCGCGGCCTCGGCTTCCTAGATTATCTGGTCTTACAAGAAGGATCGGGATTTTCGAGTTTGGTTAGCATCGTTGCTTGGAGAGGGAAAGTTGGAATTGTCACTCGATTATGGAGTGTAGTACGTTTGATCGCAATAGCCTTAGTCCCCGTCTTGAATATAGTGGTTATGAGTGAGTGATAGATAGCATCATACATTTCCATAGATCCCATTCCCAAATATTCTGATCGAAATTGCTGACACCGTTTTAGGCAATGTTGAAACAAGAGCAACCTTCTATCGCGTCGAAACAAACCCCGTTTACGGCTTCGGAATCGGTACTTTCAACGCCTCACTTGCACGATTATGGGCACCAGCAACCGACCTGCTTTACTCAACTGGCTTCAATGAATTTGTATCCGACACTACGAGGACTGTCGACATAACGGAAGGCAGTAACCGGGAAAATTGCGCGCGCCAAAATCACGCACGAATCGGTTCGAACTGTCTGACCACACTTTTTGTTCCTGGGGGAATCGAAAATTCTGTGCAACAAGTTTTAGAAACCAACAACTCTATGGAGGCGGATGCTTACCTAGCCATTGATCAACAAGGCTATCTCTTTGAATTTGAACAGGGCACGCAAAATTGGACGTACAATACGGAAACCGAGGGCGGAGTGTACGGTTCTGAGCTGTTTGCGTTCGCACTTTGCTTGAAGAATGGTGCAGATGGAGGGGTCCAAGCCCGTGAGTAGAATTGCAACTACCCTACTGCGATTAACGAACCACTGACTGTCTGATTAGACCTTACCCTTTGCTCTTTAACCCTAAACTTTGACAAATGCTTTAATAGTACCACCTGGCGCGATGGTGACGGCTGGAGTACAAGCGTCCGAACATCTTACCATCGTGCCACGGTCGCGTACGGCAGATTCAATGGAACGATTTTGTCCCACAAATTCTCCAATATTCCAACAATTGACGCTTCGATAAACGCGACCGAGCTCCTGCAAGCCTTTGACATCATTCTAGGAGCAGACAGCAGCAACACGACTCTCATCAGTCCATTTGCCGTATTTGGCTCTAGGATGCCAGCACTCCCGTATTTTATATGGTGGTATTTTCACGGCATCGACGCCCTCCCGCGCAATGATGCTGCCGGAAACGCGCGGGCAGTCGCTGGGCTACAGTCATTACTTACCCTAACCATCTACCACTGCCAAGCAAAGGACTTTGCGGACCTGGAGCGCGGTCTCGGATTCGATAACAGCACAGCTATCGGAAGCGCCATTCTTTCGGTCTTCCCAACTACGGAGCCAGACACAGCCATATTGCCAGCGGTGCTGAGATATAACATCGTTGTCGGCTGTAGAAGTTTGATCGCATATATTGTACTGAGTGGAGTGAGCTGGCTACTCTGCGCTGCCATTCTCTTGGCTGGCTCAGCAAGCCCTGTCGTCAGGAGAGCAAAGGACACTACTGCTTTCCCGACTCTCGATTTTTGCACCAAATGCGAAGTGCGGGATGACATTGGCGCCGAAGTTTCAATGGAGCAACTCTCGGGATTGGACATTCTTACTATGAAGGAGAGGATGATAGCGATTGCTAAGATGAAAGTAAGACTACTTCAAGCTTAGAACAAGGCATAGGTATGGCATAGGAGCTGGGGAGCTGCATCTTGGCAAGAAGCAAAAGGGCAATTTTCTATTATCTTTGTTAACTTATCTTCTGCTAACTCACAGGGCGTTGAAAGTGTACGGTCTTCATGCTGAAACCGAAGAATGCTCGTTTGATAAGGCGAAAAGACTTGTGTTCAGATAGGAATCACGGGTAGCTCATAGTTATTCTGGTCACGATACAAATACAAATTAAGTTAGCATGGGTTTTCTCGTGCAGACTAGGGCTATAGCTTAATTTATCCAGCATCAGCAAGAAACTTCAGGGCAATGGATTGGAGTCTCTTTGGTAGGACCTAGGCGAGAAAAGGGGAGTGAGAGGTAGATCCCATGAGCTTCACTTCACATACCTGTTGCACGGAATTATAATCTCTGATTTGAAAATTGAATGACGATTTCTAGGAAGGCAGGGAAAGTGTCAAAATTTGATATAAAGTTGACCATTGACTGATATCAAATACTTAATTATATGACTTCAAGAGCGAAACAAGTTGAAAGAAGTGACATGCAGCAGCTTTTGGGACACCACGTCACAAGAGCAAGAAATGTAACCGTGTCCAAAGTTTTGCTCAACGGGGACCCGAGGCTGGAAACTACTTCTATCCATACCTCTTACTGCTTGCTTAAGGCACATTGGAACATACAAAGATCACTATAGCTATTCCAACATCTCTTGCAGGTTGCATGTTGACAGAGGGAGAGAGGAAGCTGCCAGGAAGAGTTGTGCTGTCGCTACGAGTAAACGCGCACCTTGGCGTGCAAATTCAAACAATATAGATGAATATTTTAGATATACTCGGAATGAAACGAGAACAAAATACTGCCGAGCGTGGAATGGGAGACAACTGCAAAATTTTCTCTGTCTCTGTTTAGTGGAGAGAGGTGAACAGAATCAAGTTGATGTTGATGGAGGTTCAGCACACCGGCATGTCACGTGGGTAGCTAGCCATAACCGAGCAAGCGCGACTAGCTTCAATTGAACAATTTCGTCGAGCACAAGGGACCTCTTCCACTTTCGATACACCACCAACAACAAACTTGTTCCCATCCCCTCCGCCTCCAGTCCTCCCTCTTGGACCTACCTTTCGGTTTCGTGTTATCCACCTCCTTCCTAATCTTATTGTATTTCCTCAGTTCGAGATCCTTCTTCGTCCTAGAAAAATTCACCACAGCATCCCTCCACACCCCAGGAAACGCGTTCGATATCCGTGACAGGACTCGACAGCTCTACCAGCGGCCTTCACACCTGTCTCCTGTCCTGCGGAGGCTTCCTTGATCTTTGCACCGTATCTGCGCGTCTTCAGCTCCACAGCAGCTATCCGCCTTCGCCTGTCCTTGAGGTCGACATCTGTCTTCCTCAGCCCCCCAACTAGCAGGCATAATGGCGACCAATGGCAGTTTCTCGCAGCAAGACCAATACAAGAGTACTACTGAGCAGTATCCGGCCACTTCGGGTCCTACTGAGTCCAGCACTGGCAGTGCTTCGGGCAATGACCTCTCGAAGGACGAGGTGGGCTGGTATTTCGTCGAACAGTACTACACCACCTTGAGCAAATCTCCGGAGAAGCTTCATGTAAGTTCTATACCGTTTACTCGAAAGTGAAGCGCTGACGACAGATGTAGCTCTTTTACGGGAAACGATCCCAGTTCGTTTCTGGTCTCGAGGCCGAGGTAGCTCCAGTTTCCGTGGGCCGAAGTGTAAGTTTGCAAGATATTTACACCACTTCACAACCTAACAAATACAGGCTATACAAGAGCGCATCAAGGAACTCGGTTTCCAAGACTGCAAAGTCCGCGTTTCCAACGTCGATTCCCAAGCATCCTACGATAACATCGTCATTCAAGTCATCGGTGAAACATCCAACAAATCTGCCGAGCTCAAGAAGTTTGTCCAGACCTTCGTCCTCGCCCAACAACCTACCGGATACTTTGTTCTTAACGATATTTTCCGGTACATAAATGATGAGGGTGAGGAGGAACTGGTTGACAATGCACAAGATGACTCGGCTGCAACTGGACCTTTGGTTGAAGATGTTGAGATGCCAAAGGCACAACCTTCTATTGAGGAGCCAACAGCTGCACCATTGGATACCGAAGTCGTTGATAAGAAGCTGGAGGAAACCATCGAGACTGCAGCAGTCTCAGAGCCAGCTCCTACCACGAATGGCACGCCAGCTCCCGTGGTTGAGGCTGAAGACGCAACTACTGCCACCACGGCGGAAGATGATGTTCCCACCCCCGAGGTTGCTGCTAAGGAAGTTGAAGCCGAGATCAAGGAGCCCGAGAAGCCAAAGGACCCCGTTCCCAGCCCGGTAATTACTCGAGCTCAGTCCTCTACCAAGCCGACACCAGCCCCAGCCACAGCCCAGCCAGCAGCTCCCCCAAAGCCATTGAGTTGGGCAAGCCGAGCGGCTGCTGCATTGGGACCCTCTACAACGCCCAAGCCCGCCGTACCAGTTGTTGCCCCCAAGACCTCGACCCCGCCTGCCCAGACTCGTGCTGCACCTCCAGCCGCCAAGCCTGCGCAATCCTCAACTCCAACTCCGGTCGCCCCCAGCGAGAAGGAGAAAGAAAACAACCCAGCTGGAGCTGGATGGCAGACTGCAGGTAGCGAACATGCCAAGCGCCAGAACAGACCGCAGTCTATCTCTGCCCCCCCTGAGAAAGAGGGCACAATGGGTTATGTCAGAAACGTAACTGATAAGGTCGGTACTGAGGAGTTGAAGGCGGCTTTGGCGGCTTTTGGTCAGTTAATCTATTTTGATGTCAACCGTAGCAAGGTAAGTTAAACACTATTCTCAATCCAATCATGGCCGCTGACAGATGTGTAGAACTGTGCCTTTGTCGAATACGCGACTCCTGAGGGCTATCAAGCTGCCGCCGCTGCCAATCCCCACCAAGTTATGGGAGAGCCTATCTATGTTGAGCCTCGCCGACCCAAGGCTGGTGCATATGGAGGAAACGGATATACCGGAGGACGTGGAGGCATGAATCAGCGAGGTCGGGGAGGATTCCAGCAACGTGGTCGCGGAGGCGGAGGAGCTCCTCGTGGCCGAGGCACGAGCCAAACTACCACTGCATGAACTCTCTCAACATCATGCCCCATCCCGAGTCATCGACCTCCTCCTTTTTCCCCAGCGCCATAACATCGTCATTGTACCATACTTGAACTTCGGTTCTTTACGACATTAAGACCTGTACTCTACCGACTTTACACTTCTTCAGCATGCATTCTACCGGTCTCATCTACTCATTTCCACGTTGTCCCTCAAAGCAAAAGTTCTGCAAACTTTTTATCATGCTCTATGCCCTGCTTCCGCGCGCGTCATTTTGCATTTTCAATGGATGGGCTGAGGCTTCAAAATTGCAATCTCGGGAGAGGAAGCATTTTTCATCAAAAATCTACTGCGGTGCTTTTGTTAGCATGTTTTCCGATTCCCCCTTTCCTATATCATGACATTGCTGGGGCCGCATGGCATGTTTCAATGTGGCATAGGTCTTGGTGAGCGATGGCTGGGAAATATGGACGGATGGATAGTTTAGCGGGATAGGCTTTGGTGGGCTGGTATTGGAGTGTTGAGGGAGGAGAGTGAATGGATAGGTGGGAGGTCCGTGCGATGAAACATCTGTAATTATTCTAGAGTAATGGCAGAAAGTCAACTAGATACATTCATTCCTCTATACCTTTTATGGCTTGAATGTTCGTCAGCCCTGGATGAAGATTTGGATGGCAGGCTGCTAGCTTCTCCGTGTAAGCCAGCCCATAGGAAGTCTCCCGAGGCCAAGGATCCTCTCTGTTTGAAAAGGAGAAGGTTCAGGCGAATCCACGATCGCTGATTCAACACAACTTGCTTCCCTCCCGCTTCCACAGATAGTTACGCCGAGCGCCATTCATCTTCAATGCTCCCATATCCTCCCAGAATAATCTGACTGGAACTTAATTCGAGTTGGCCAAACTCAACCCAGAGCAAAACACCGTTTGACACAGATTCACTGCAAGGCAGATGCAACGATTCTGATTTAATCCCATTTGCAAACGTCTCGACTATTCCAAAGACATCGGGTCTTTCCGGACGAAACGAGATGGGATGGGATGTTGGAAGGGTGAGGCGTTTACGAGTCAGGGTCCACGGTTTCTTGGGATGTTACCAAGAGTTTATTGGGTTGTGAGCTGGAGTTGAAAGAAGGCGATGGAGGACAGATTAATTGTTCTTGAAACAGTTGAATTAATTCTCACTTTGATATCCCTGGTTGCTATGAGGTTTGAGGAGGGGATCCTAGTGGGAAGCGGTTCCCCGTATCCCCATTGTCCAGAAATTGCGGTACAGTTTCCACTTGGTAGGCTATATACGTTCTGGGCGTGAGGAGCATTGTTTGCTATTATATGTAATCGCTCTTTTAATTTAGATTATTTGTTTCAGAAGACCGTATTATGAAAAGATCGAGATGTTGTACATACCGGTACTTCGATTCCCTGTTTGATGTCGAGATCTGACTTCCTTAGCCGGCTTGTGGCTGCTATGTTCATGCATTAAGAAAGTTTATTTGAGCAATGTATTTATAATGTCTCTTGAGCAAGTCTTCTAGAAGAAATACCAAAAAGTTATAAGTAGGGAGGCCGTGTTGCTGAAATTGGAAGCAATGAAAGATGAATGAGAATAAGGGAATCTTTGTAGGACGAACATGAGAGACTTAATGAGACGCGGATACGGTGTAGACAGTGCATAAGGATAGGAGTATTAGTTTCGTAGATAGGAATGCGTTTGGAGCTGCCTGGCATCAGATGTCTGAGGGGCACTTCCGAAGCGTGCCATTCATTGGGACTGCGGTTGTGAGTGTTCGTGTATCCAAAGGGTCTTATATTAACTTTCATTGTACCGACTCTGACAATTTAAAGCTCTCTTATCAATGAAGACATCGGGTCGTCTCCAACGTCAGCTGGGTTGCTACAGTCTGGAATCTCGGCTCAACGTCGGGCTTTCTGCTTGTTGGACGACTCTCAGATATCTTTGGCCGTAAATGGATGGTGATGGGAACGTCGGTGCTTGGATTGGTTGGAAATATTTTGGTATGCACAGCTCAGGGTGTGAATGGGCTCATTGGAGCGAACATGTGTAATGCCCTGGCAGCTGCTGGTCAACTCTCATTTGGGGTTGTTCTGGGAGAGTTAGTGCCAACAAGCAGAGAGGACCAATCGTCACTCTGTTCTTTCTCTTGAATCTGCCATTGCTGATGAGTTTCCATCATGGTTACGGTAATCTAGTCTGATGAGAAACAGTCTTCGGGCCTGTGATTGCAAGATCGTTCATACCTCACACTCTATCTGACTGGAGATACTCTTGCTATTTAGGGATTATCAGTCTGTAATGGCCCTTTTGCCGTACCAGTTCATGTATCATCCGCTAACTTATGATCAACTCCATGTTCATGGGAAGAGCAAACGTCAGCAGACGGCCGAGATTGGCTATGGCGACAACTTTCTCTTCGCGATTGGCATGATTCCCTTCCCAGTGGGTCTTTCATGGGTGTTGGGGGGAGGACTGTCTCCCCTGGGAGAGTGCTCAAGTACTCTGCCCACCGCTCTTTGGCATTGCGAGACTTGTAGCTCTGATTGTTTTGGTACCTTAGGACATTCTACTCTCTGAGATGACCAGTAATCCTCCTTCAGAACCATTTATTGTAAAACAGCAAGCTCTGATCCCAGTCCGACTCTTCACGAACATTGGCTACGTTGCCCTGGTAGGTTGTGCCACAATCGCAGCCATGATCTACTACTCGATGACAATCCTTTGGCCAACTATTATTGGAACAATCTTCTCAACAGATATTCATACAATTGGTTGGCAATCCTCCGTTGTTGGCGGAGGAGTTCACCTCGGCCGAGTCCTTGGCGGTTTCGCTCTCTCCTACATCCCAAAAGACAAACACCAAGCCATCATCGCATCTTATCCGGCCTTCGCAGTCGTCGCATACCTATCGCCAATCTCAAAGGGAAATTACGCTGCTTTCATTGTCCTCGGAGTCCCGGGTTGTACTGCGATCGGCTTCGTGGACAACATCACCTTCCCCGTGACACTGGTCGTCGAACCCCATGACATTGGCCATGTCAGCAGAGTCCTAAGTTCTATTCGGACATGCGGTGGAGCGACAGATCAAGCACTTTACGTCTCTGTTCTTCAGAACAAGATTGCAGTCTACCTTCCTGAATATGCTACGCCAGCTGTACTTTCAGCCAGCCTTCCGTCTTCGTCACTTCCGGCTCTCTTGGGTGGTATTGCCACTGACAACTTCTCCAATGCCTCGTGTGTTATCCAGAGATCATTTAGGCCTTAGGACCGCAGGTCATGCGGACATATATCTCAAGCTTCAGGATTGTGTTCTATGTGACGATCCTGTTAGTGCCTTGTTGATCTTGGCGGCTTGCTTTGTGCCAAATGTGGAGATGTTCTTAGGATATAATGTGGCCGAGAGGTTGAAAAGTTTTTCTGGGGGTGTTAATAGTAAGACAGCTTCAGTAGAACAAGGTGAGATGAAAATTGAGCAGGGTGTTTAACAGCAGCCCCAGCAGAGATGGGGAATACCCGAGAAAGAACCGATATACTCGGACATGAAAACCTCAAAAGCACAAGCGCATCGGATTGAATTCGCGTTTCCAGAAGGGGGCAGTAATACACAAGTCCGTGTTAAGCTTAAACCACCCAAAATCCTCGTAGAAAAAATATTTGGGTTTGCCCCCTAATCACGTGCTTTGCTCTCCACTTAAAATTTCTGGGCGCGTTCTGGCGCGACCCCGTCTTTACCACTTTACGCGTCCTCACCTTTCCTTCGACAATCCTCAACACTTGCATCAAGCAAACGGAATCTGTTCGTCATGGCCATGTAAGACCTTACCGTCCTTCTTCCCCCCATCTCCAGATCTGCATCACCGAGATATCCTGGTACAATGGAGGAATCGTTGACTGACCGAGCTCGATACGATAGGGAAAGTTTCGACAACATCTACCTCGATCTCTCGAAGGAGTCGGGCAAGTGCAGATTCGCTGAGACAGGTTTTGGGTGGAAGCCTTCTGGCGGTGGCGATACCTTTACCCTCGATCACTCGAACATCGGCGGCGCACAATGGAGTCGTGCAGCGAAGGGCTACGAGGTCAAGATTATGTTGAGGACTTCAGGCATTGTCCAACTGGATGGATTCGTTCAAGAGGTGAGATCATTTTGCATGTACTTCGGGGGCAATAGCTGATAAACTTAGGACTTCGAGCGCCTGGGCAAGGTCTTTAAGAACTGGTATAGCACGAATCTCGAACACAAGGAACATGCACTTCGCGGATGGAACTGGGGCAAAGGCGAGTTCGGAAAGGCTGAGTTAGCTTTCAATGTACAAAACCGCCCAGCCTTCGAAATCCCATACTCAGAGATCTCGAACACAAATTTGGCGGGTAAGAACGAAGTTGCCGTCGAATTTGCGCTGCCGGCGAATGGTGATGATACTGGAACGAATGGAGCTCTGGGTGGCGCGCGTGGAAAGGGCAAGAAGGCAGGTGCTGGGAAGGACCAACTTGTTGAGATGAGATTCTATATCCCTGGTGTGACGACGAAGAAAGAGGCCTTGGATGGAGAGGATGCGCCTAGCGACGCTGAGGAGGCCGAGGAGGAGCAGAATGCGGCGAATCTATTCTATGATACGCTAATGGAGAAGGCGGATATTGGAGAGGTCGCTGGTGATACATTTGCCACCTTCCTGGATGTGCTGCATCTTACTCCTAGGTACGTAAGAGTTTCATTCATCATTGAACAGAATTGACGTTTTGTACAGAGGTCGTTTCGATATCGATATGTACGAAACCTCCTTCCGGTTGCGAGGCAAGACATACGACTACAAGATTCAGTATGACACTCTCAAGAAGTTCATGATTTTACCAAAGCCCGACGAATTACATTTCATGATCTGTATTGGTCTCGATCCTCCACTTCGGCAAGGCCAGACCCGATACCCTTTCTTGGTTATGCAATTCAAGAAAGATGAGGAGGTTACGATTGATTTAAACATGACGGATGAATTACTGAAGGAGAAATACGATGGCAAGCTTCTCCCACATTACGAACAGCCCTTACACGAGGTCGTCACGCAAGTCTTCCGAGGTTTGACAGGAAAGAAAGTTAATCAGCCCGCCAAGGATTTCTTGAGGTAAGCAGCTCTTTCGAGTAGTTGAAGTCAAAGCTTATAGTTGTAGTCACCACCAACAATTCGGCATCAAGTGCTCCATCAAAGCCAGTGAAGGCTTTCTTTACTGCCTCGAGAAAGCTTTCATGTTCGTCCCCAAGCCCGCGACCTACATCGCCTACGAACAAATCAAAAACATCGTTCTCTCCCGTGTTGGGGGTGCCGTCTCCGCCTCGCGTACCTTCGACATAACCATCGAAATGAAAACAGGCGCCGAATCTCAGTTTTCAAACATTAACCGAGAAGAACAAAAGCCCCTGGAGGAATTCTTCAAAGTCAAGGGTCTCAGAGTCAAGAACGAGATGGATGAAGATACTTCTGCTTTACTTGCAGCTGCACTTAGGGACAACCCCGATATGGCATCCAGTGATGAGGAGGTTGTGGCTGCGAAGGCGGATAGAGGCAGTGCCGACGAGGACTCTGAGAGCGCGGATGAGGATTTCCAGGAGGATAGCGAGAGTGATGTTGCGGAGGAATTCGACTCTGCGCATGAGAGTAGTGGAAGCGATGACGAAGAGGGAGGTGGAAGTGATGCGGAGGAGGAGAAGAGACCGAAGAAGAAGGCGAAGAGTGGTTGATTTGACGACCCAGGGACGGAAAAGTTGCATATTCGGCGTTTGGTGGAGAATTGGAGAAGCGATATTTGCATGCCTCTACATATGATAATATTAGGTTTCTGAGCCAGGAGCGGTTTTGAGGCCAGAGTGAATAGTGACACTGCTCACATTTACGGGGAAGTCTTCCCCACAGTAGTTGCCCTACTTTCATTTGAGATCCCAATCCGTATCACATGACCTGTCTGCTTCTCCCGTCTTGAATACATAAACCTCCCCTACAGCCTTCCGTGAATCACCTGCTTGGATTTGAAAATGATGGAGAGGCACGGGGGTGCATTGTCTGGAGAATTGCAAGACGACCACGGGCGATGTTGCAAGGAGAGAAGCAGTTGACACACCAGTCAGTCTTAAATTACCAGCGAACGTTTCTTCTGTGCGCCAAGTAGGTTTTGAAGAATCGCGGTCGATTATTATTTCCAGTGAGTACTCGTTCGCTGTCAAATGTCTTAATACTTGTTTTGTCCCATTTTGGCTGCTTTATCAGTATCCGATCTGACTCGCGCCTCCCCACCCCTCTACCCTCTCATAATTCCCCACAAAAACAACTGCAACTCTCTTTAAAATTGGTGCCATAGCAAAGAACCAGAGTGCAAACATCAGCTCACTCACGGCCACATTCAACATCCAAAGCGTAATGCCGGAGAAGCTCTTTCGCTTCTTCAATGCCTTTCCAAATCGCTTACGCGCATCTTCTTCAACGCGCATCCTCTTCAACGCGCATCCTCTTCAACGCGCATCCTCTTCAACGCGCATCCTCTTCAACGCGCATCCTCTTCAACGCGCATCCTCTTCAACGCGCATCCTCTTCAACGCGCATCCTCTTCAACGCGCATCCTCTTCAACGCGCATCCTCTTCAACGCGCATCCTCTTCAACGCGCATCCTCTTCAACGCGCATCCTCTTCAACGTTCTCCCTCGCGCCAGAACCCATCCTCAACATCAGTTTCTTAGATTTTGAGGAGGTTGTCTTACATGTAAGGTTATCGCGGCACATGGTAGCCATGCGATGAGGAAAGCTAGAGGCTGATTCCATTCTGGCTCCGCTCGGCGATATCGTTGAGCTATTCTCTTCTGAGCTTGCGGGTGTCGTGAGACGCCTGCGAGCGCAGTCAGAGAAGTGACAGCCAAAATAATATGCTCACGAATGCCTTAATTGAAGTTTCGAAAGAGTGTGGGACGGCGGTTATTATACTCTTAGGTATTTAGTGTTTCGCTTTCAGCATTGGGACCGGGCAAGGCGGTGGCCCTCGACGCACAGAGGCCGCCGATCATTGTTCTTCATAAATCGCTCATTATCCATTTGAAATTCTTCTTGCGATTCAGATCGGCGTATTGGCAGAAACGGCACACTGCCCGAAGGGAGCCGACACGACCCTACCCGAACGAAGCTCACTTCGGGCCACCACTCCATCAAGACGCAGTTCATGTGGCAGGTACTACCTCACCATGAGTCGATTGAGAATTTCACATTTCACTTCTCGCCGAACCTGGGGACCAGATTCGATCCTGCGCGTTGACCATTCTCGTTCTGGTTCTGGAGGGCTTAGCATCAACCTCCCGTTTATCGAGTTATCGCTCACTTTCCTCGAAACAACGCACAGTACCTCATGTGAAGAACCTCGAGAAATATCGATCTCGTATCCGGTCCATCGCCAAGCCCTGTTTTCCAAGCCTTGTCTTCCAATCCCTCTTGAACTCCGTCAGCAGATCCTTGCTTCTTTTTCATGATGACAGTCTCAGCATAAATCCAAAATGGAGGCCGACTCTCAGAAAGCTATGGTACAGATTTTGGGATCCGATTCCTGCATTCGTGTCCTACAAACGCGCATTCATCACCGACTCAGAAATAGCGGAACACTTCTTGACTCTTAATCTCGTTTGCTCTCAGCAGCTCAGCTACAGGAAGAAGGCCATGGAAATCCTGTTCTCTTGAAACAGTTGACACTTTTCCATATACATCGGCTCTAGTCTCAAACCGAGCTCTGTATGAACCTCTGCACAATGTTGTTCAGTAAGACGCTATTTGCGTAATTCGGAATGTCTGGGACAAGCACGCCGTTTCCCCATTCGACACATGAAGGCCACAGCCTTCTGCGAGAGAAAAGAGGAGGGCTTTATTGAGACTTGGTCCGGGGTGGCTTTTTCCACGATGACAAAGTACGAAGGTTTACAGGGGCTCGAAATCGCTTGGGTGATTATTACGACTTCGGCTTTTTGAATTAGTATCTCTAGAGCCACAAGATTGCCTGTGTGCTCTGTGGGCCAGAAGGAGAAGTTGGACTAGGGATTTGTCTAATATGGACGCGAAGCAGGTGTGCATGAGCTTAAGACGCGCATGTGTTGAGCCCAGGGAGGGAATTAAGAGGAATGAGAGGGGTTGTCGCTTGGGTGTGTCTCAAATAGGTAAGTTGCGTATTTGTTAATGTCTAAGAAGTCAAACCTAAGAACACTTTATATTGCAGGTAGGGCAGGAGAAGATCAAATGCACATCGGGTGGGAAAAGGGCGATTCTCGAAGCAGGTTGCTAATACATAGGTTCACGGTTGGTGGAGTGCTAGTGAGCAATTTTCGGGGCAATTGCTAGGAATTTCAGGTATGCTATTATTAGCAAACGTTTAACCTCGCACCATGATTTTCGTGGAAATATTTCTGACGTTCTCTAAAACAGATGTTCCAGAGATTCGAGTACTTTGTAAAGATCTCGACTTCTGGATAACCGCCATGGAAGAAGTTTCGCCCTCTAGAATTGCATTGTCCTGATGACCCAGGTCAGGATACTGCCCTCATGTTTGGCCGTCACAATCACCAGCCCCAAGTCTTGCGTCTCAGCCTTGGCACACTGTGGCGCGTATGCATCATACAGCACACCTCATCACAAGAAAGAGGCTTATGCATGAGACTCAATACTTCGGCAACCTCCATAAGGTGATGGCGATAATGGCCAACGAACCAATACAACCTTCAGGAATTCGATATGGCGTTTAGCACAGCCTGAATGGCTGATGTCTTTTCCCATTCTATAATTTTGGCGTTGAATTTTTCCATCTTTCCAGTTTGAGAACCTCGTGGGATATTCCATGTGGACCAACATTCAGGAACTCACACTGCACAAAATCTCCACCTGTATACTCAGCGCTCCCCTGCTCTACAAAGGCCCCAAACTACGAGCAAAACACCCCCGCATAGTAGGTGTGGGTACGCAACCTGCAACTTTTTACGTCCCATCTTCTGTTCGAAAGCGATTTACTCTGCTTTCAAAGGTAACAGAACTACCGTTCAAACGCAACCTTTCAAATAAGACACTTCTAATGTCGCTTTATTATCTTGCCGCCCTCCTCTTCCAAGCCGTACCTTCTCTCTCTGAGCCTCTTCCGCCACACCCAACGTCTCGCATCTGCCCATTCAATCATCAGTCACCTTCAGTTCCAGCATCCCAATGGTTAAATCTACTTACTGCCTGTCTCGCCCCTTTAATCGTCCACATAGCAGCAGGGGTTCCATCGCCAACCATCATCGGAGGTAAAGAGAGCCTGGAGAAGCCACCATGGTCGGAACGACTCTCACATTTCAATCCAAGCTCGATATTATGGCGCTACCACGCAATCGCCGACCGACGATTGCGCTCGAAAAGCTGGAGCAGAGAAGACTTGGCTGCCACGAACGCTCTTTTCTGGGATGGCGAACACTGGGATGGGTCGGAGGTAATCATGATCAGGAGCAGGAACTTCCCCTCTAAACTCCTGAATTCAACACATGTCGATTTCCTGTCTGGCTCTACACTCGCGACCATCACCATGACAATTCAAGGCGCTTATTCTGTTTTTATCGTTGTGACAAACGGCTCCATGTCCGATTTAGCGGACTTCTTTGCGCCGCTCGCGGTCATAGGATTGTTTAGGCTGCAATCTGCATTCTGGCTGTCTGACGAGGGTGCCTATTTGCCGTTCAGCAACTGCGATGGTTCCATTATGACAACGCCGTTCGAAGCTCGGGTCTCGGAAGAACTTTACAGTGCTTGGGGCCGGAGGGGAGTCATATTTCGCTCTTGGTGGATCTGCTCCATGGCGGGATTGGCTGGATATGCTCTCTACTCATGCACAGATATCTTGTTTACTACATGGGTCCCTGGTGATTGCATTTACGCCTCCAACTTGCTGGAAAGAGTCTTCTATACAGTTCTTACGGTCAGCGCTTTTACTATACATTCTTTTTACGTACTTAGAGGTCAAAGTCGGACGACACTTGTTCCCTGTATTCAGGCAATGCGGTACAAGATTTATACATATCTCATGATGCTCTTGGCTCTCCTTGGTATTACGTTTTCAGCCGTAGAAACAGGCCTGGGTTGGTTTCATTTGGATCACAACGGTGTATAAATAAAAATCAAGGCAGCGTGCGATATCACGGAACTCATCTTTATCTCCGCTATGAAATTGTTCACATAAGTGGAGATAGAAATCACAATTTAGAGGTAGTCTTTGAATATTGGGTGACAGATTTTGAGTCACACAAACCTAACCGAGCCCCTGTCCAGTTATTTTCAATGAGTTCTCATCCCATCTTATAATTCACCACCTGTCAACACATCAATATCTCTTACTTTCTAAGTTACTTGTTATTCAGATGCTTGACCGCTGTTTTCTCTCCTCGGCGACGGGTAATTTTCTCCCTTCCATCCCTGTGCGGGACGGCTATCAGCATCCTTATAGACGGACTTTCATAGATTAACTCATTTATCCTAGGAAAATTTGAAGGCTAGATAGTAGATATTCGAATATTGTAGGTTTTGTGGAAGACCTGAACTTCTTTTTCTTACCCGCTTCTCGGATGATCGAAATACCTTCGGCCGTAATGTCTCAAATAGCTATTAGTGTTCATCTCCTGACAGTTCTCCTCTTCTAGCTGCATTTATCTTGTGCGCCTCTCTCATCGCAATAGCATCTCGTAACTCCCACTCTCGCTTGAGAGCACCATTCGCATACATTTGAACCCTATCAATCTTACCGACAAGCATCTCAAATTGAGCATCAAACTCCTGTCTCATCAAGCCATCATCAACAAAGCTGTCCTCTCCTAGCAAATAATCATCCAAGAACAAACCAGCTGCCTCCGCAAACTCGTCAACCTCTACCTCAAACCCAAACAACTCAGGCCCCCACCCCGCATTCAGGTGAATCTCCAGAACTCCAATATGGACCTTGACCCTTTTCTTTTTGGACAACAAGTAAATGCCTCGCTCAATAAAGCGTTGGAGCAGAGCCAAGGATCCGTTGAATTGGTTGCAGTTGAAATGATCAGACTCTCCAACAGATGTGACAACACTACTTGTTTTGCCGCTTCTCACCCGCCAGTGGACCTCCAACACGTCGATACGGTCTGCAAAGCACGGCAAACAAGGGACAGAGATCCAAGTGGGGGCTAAGACTCCTCGGTCCTTGCGGTCCACCAAGTCGACTTTGTATCTCACACCACCGAGACGCTTGATGCTGTCCAGAAACTCATGGCGGATTTGTCGTGCTGCGTGGAGCAGCCCGTGAGCAGGAGGCAATGATGTATGCACGGGAAATTGGATGGCCCCTTGTCCAAAGAGGGTTTCGGGGTCGGAGCGAGAGTATTCGATAGTCTTGCGCTCTCGCTGTAGTTCTCGGCTTCGGGAAGAGGGGAGCGTATCTGACAACATCCAATCGTAAATCTGGTCGCGAATCTCGCGGGGAATCGTGAGTAGACTTGGCATGGCGTGGATCCTAAGTTTATGGAATGTAGGTGGAGGTTTGGGAGCACGATATCAGAGTTGACGTTGGATTTCAGGCCGGGGTTGGTGCCTACGTGGCTGAAGCGGTGCCTTGATGAGGAATAGCGGCTGCAAGCTTGCAGGTTCAGTATCACATGATAAACAGAAAAGTGGGCATCATTTTCAACCTTCTAAGTTAAACTGAATATTTCAAGTATCTCTGTGTTAAAATGTTGGCTCGGGTGTTCAAAGCCTACCCCACACGTCCCAGACGTTGTAGAATTTATCACACAGTGTAACCCACTGTGCCGAGCACCCAGTCCCAGTGTGTCAAAAAAGTAATCAAGGTATTCCGAATATTCATGAATATTCATGATTAGCTTGAATAGAATATAATTACCGCAATGCTTAAATAATTTGATTAGATTAGAATATATAATCATGAATACTCATGAATACTTTGATTACTCTACACGTGACTGTGGCACGTGATATACTAGCCTAATTAAGTAGAGGCCCCGCTCTAGTGTCGCCTTAGCGCCACCTCGCTGCCTAATTAGTAGGCGAAAGGCTTGCAAAGACGATGCTAGATAGGGAGCCATACCTAATTAGGTTAGTATATCACGTGCAATAGTCACGTGTAGAGTAATCAAAGTATTCATGAATATTCATGATTACCTTAATTGGAATCTGATTAGAATATAATTAGTGGGTATTTTTGATGAATAGATTAGATTACTAGCCAGTATTCTAATCTAATCTATTCATTTGACACACTGCCCAGTCCAAAGAAGTACTTTTGTTTTCCAGCTGCGAGAGATTGCCATTTCAAAGAAGTCAGTTGTCAATCAGTACGTTTAGCTCAGTTATTCATCAGCACTTATACTCCTATCGATCGTAAGGCATCCGCTTTGTGTCTGACTTATGCAACCCGCTAACGCCCCCCTGAGTAGCCACACGTCATCTCGCTTCAGGGTCCGCCAGCATTTTCGGCCAAAATGCCTCGAAATTGCACGTCTATTTAAATCCCAACTTTCCGCTATCTTGTCTATAGATGTTTTATTGAATTTGGTAAATTAGTTGATGGGTAATTACTGATTACCTTTGAAAATAACTCCACCGTTGAGCAGGCGCATTCTCGCCTCCCAACGCACCGTCAACAACACCTCGCTGGCGTACCCAGCCACATGCTCTGGACGAGTATTGCTCTAGTCAAACCGTCCCACCTATTACCGCCGTCGCCATTATTGGAGCGGTCTGTCGGGAGCTTGCACCGCTTATCATCTCCTAGCAGGAGCCGAGACCTCACCGACACCAGCACCAGCAGCGCCATCTTTGAAGCTCGACAAGCCTGCTCAGGCGCAACTGGTCACAATGGCGGACACGCAAAGCCACAATTAGTAGCATATTCCTCTCTTTATTAGGGAACTGATGTACAAGATGAAGGTTTGTGCTGAGAATGTCATTGTCCCTGGGCGGCCTAGTAACGAGCTACCTCAGAACAGGTCTAACAAGACCTTGATACAGGAGTGCGAACTGTTGGTCATGAGGCTATGTGATGTCTTTCTTGATGAGTACCATGCCAATGATGCAGAGAAAGAATGGAATAAGACCGTTACTGGAAAGCAGGAGTTCGTAAGGAAAGAGAGCAGAGAGTGTGATTTAGAGTGGGCAGGATATATACAATTTCTGAAGGGTAATATTGCAGAACAGGTAAGTGGAACAACGAGCAATTCCAATTACTTCTAATTCTTACAGTAACTCCCTCTCCTTCGACATTGTTACTGAAATCCAACAGGTAACTTCGGTTCGTAGCACCAAAACAGCTGCGTGCTGTCCTACTGTCTCGCCTTGGCACTACAAGTTCGTGCAGGCTTTTACTTCAGCACGTTGTCAAGCTTGGTGGCTAACTTAACACACTCACACCTGCAACTAGCATTGAATGAGTATCCGAAAAGGAAGCTGGCCAAATCCTCAGGCGGCAAGCACGAAAAGCTTCACTGCTATTGAGATTCCACAAGGTATAACGCTTGCGAAAAAGATCATTTTCGTCAGTAATGCATAAGTCTTGAACTTGCTTCCACAGTATAAGAATACTAACACTCCAGGACAGGGAACAGCTTGTCTTATTGTACAGACTTCGTCTCTCAAGAGCCCGCCAGATACAAAGGTTACTCCACCCTCATCTGACGTACGACTAGCGAACACTGATAACATTAATGGCGGCCTATCTTCACGCGGGCATCTCGTGCCGCAATCCAATGGAAGTATCATTCTTGGTGGGGGTCTGCTACTGTATCTTGCTGATGAGAGTGTGTGGTATGATATGGTTGATGACGGAACACTCATTGAAAGTGTCCAGGACCGTTGGTATGAAGGATATATGAGACGGTATTTCCATGGCTGGAGTCTAGATTGGAAGACGAAAAGTTTGATCATATTTGGACTGGAAGTAGTTTCACACAATTGATGGATTTTAGACTGTTATATTGACCTGTGCGTTTCCTCGTTCGTATATATCTTGGTTCTGATTACAGGCTAACCACCCACAGTAATGCGCTACACTGAGAACTCCCAGTCCCATGTCGGTCTGGTCCTTGGGGAATCGGACCACTTCGTTCTTGCTGGATTTAATGGTTCAGGGATGGCGAGCATTTTCCTTGTTGCACGCGGAATTGCTCATCTAGTCCAAGGTGGTATCTTGTTTGGGGAGACAGGCTTACTTGCGGTGTTCAAAAGTGTGCCCGCGCGCGTTAAACCCTGGTGACCCGAATCTGAAGGCACAACTCTTTTCTGAAGGATCGATGATTCAACGATTAGGCCCAGGAAAACTCTTCCAAGATATCACCCTTGATTATAAGTCAATCAAGTTTCAGCTTTTCCTCCAGGTTTGACAACTTTGAATGTAATTATTTGAAAACGAGTGCAGGTTGCACACCTGAGAAGCCAAAAGTTCAGAATTGTGTGGCTAAAAATAGGGCATCAAATGAGGAAAGCATCGATAATCAATTTGTTCAAAGAAACCCTGGAACAGGTTAAAATCCGATTGTACAAAGTGCCAACAGATGATTAAGGTTACGGGAACTGACTTGAGACTATGGCTCTGAAACTTAGATACTCAAATAAATTCTACCTCGTAGCTGCGAAGTTATGTTCGCGCGCAGGTTTCTAAATTTTACCCATTAAAGAGAGAATTTGGGATGAAAAGGGGCATCACGTGACCATCTGTTGCTACTTCCTCCGGTAGCGAGCCACTTTAAAGTGAGGTCCCCTCGTCCTTCCCTTTTGCAGAACAAATGACGACCATAACGCCTTTCCAATACCTCAGCAGCCTCTGTCAAGCCTTCAACAAGCTCAACAAGTCATCTCCTTTGGTTAACCTCGTCTTAGCCAAGCTCCTTCGTAAGTTGGATTCCTCCCCTATTGCTTCCATGGTATCTAATTTAGCTCCAGAGCCAGCTCGCAGAAACCGCCAGAATCGCATTCAATTCTACGAAGCCTCCGCGGCCAGACAGTCCAGTCGAACTGCCGGACGGCCGACTCGTCTGCAAACCCCAGGGTCTCGCCGTCTGCGGTATCTACACCGTGGACTACAGCTTCCTGGACGAGGTTTTAGGCGACGATGCAGCGGACTCCCCACTAACTCAAAATAGAGGCGCTCGGACAATACCAAAACTCTCATCATTAGCATGCACGCTTAGTTAGCAAGTATCTCTAAGGGACTAGATCCTTAAGTACGGACCTGGCCCTATAAGGGTCTAATTAATAATAAAAACCTTATAAGTTTTCTAAAATAAAGCTAAAATAACTACTAAAGGAAGAGCTAGTACTAGTTCTAAAACTCAAGTGAATAAGGTGCTTACTAATTGAGAGATTTATTGAATAGGCTAGGGAAAGTACTAAAAAAAGCTACTAGTATATATTTAAAGCAATTTTATCATAGGGTTTAATTTCTCATCCTCCGACTCGTCCTCCGATCTCCCCGATTCATCATCGTCCTTTATAATATCGAGCGAGGTGAGTTTGAGGTAGTTAACAACTCTCTCCTTTCGATTTATTACCACAACTAGCCCACCCAGGAGAAGTACTTTGTCGTGCTTTGTGATTTCGCGCTTACGCTGCGATTCGGGGACTGGGTCCAGCGGTACCACCCCTAGTGTCCTCCTTTTATTCAGGTGTTGGATAGACACCTCACCCATGCTGGCCCTCCATCTGGGCGGCTCGCAAATCTTGTACAAGTCGGCCCACACCTCGAGACCGGCCCCCTCTCTATCGAGATTCATACGGAAGCAGAGCCATGGCATGTCCTGCTTGTAGTGGACCGGATTTGGGAAGTGCACGCGAGCGATGGGTTCGTCGTCCTTGTCGGGCTCCTGGCTCAGTTGTCGGCGCTTCTCATTCATTTTGAGGAGTTCTTGGTTGATACGTTCAAGCTCGCGATCGAGCATGTCGAGCAGCTTCGTCTCCTCTGTAGCGGCCTGGCTACCCTTCACCCTGTCCTTCCCTTGGGCTACTTTACGGCGAGTTGAGACGGAGAAGCTCTTCAACTCTTTTACCGTCTTGTCAAGTGTATTCCAATCTTCCAGGACGCCCTCAAGCATCTCAGCCTTTGTGATCTTCCCCCCCTCTAAGAACCAGCACACGGCAATCTCCTGGCACTGTCCCGAGGCAGAAGTCTCGATGGTCGTCGTATTTTTGGCTCTTCTTCCCGCGATTCTGGAACACGTGGGGGGAGCCCGGGCGGGTCGAGCTTTCCCATCCAGCATGGAACGTTTCACTCGAGTGAGGGCGTTGCCTACTTTCCAGCTTCGCTGCATCTCTCCTCGGGGTGCATGCTCACTCACGGAAACACAGAGTTTCCTGATGGAGTTCCACAAGTCTTTGAGCTCGAAAAACTGATCTTCCGTGTCCACCCTTAGATCTTTTTTTTCACCGGACTCTGGATCCGAAAGCTGATACGTGCCTGGAGAGGCCAACGTGATCCCCTCCAGGTCTTTAAAGGCGACCACGTACTTTTTCCCGTCTCGAAAATCAGCAAGAACTTCCTCTATCTCAAAGTCCTTACACTGGAGCTTCAGAGGTGGAATGTCGTTGACTTCCTTCTTCTCACCGTTATATTGGAGATGATTAAAGATTTCCGTGTCCGTGTACTCGTCCCATTTCACCTTCCAAGAAGATTGCTCCTTGGTATTGGATGTCTTGTCATCTCTGAGCCTCTTCTTAATGAGGGAGCCTGGCAATATCCAGCCTTCTCTGGTAATAGCCGACACAAAAGAGTCCCAGGCTATTACCCGTTGCGATTTCTCTTTGAACTTCTGGGTATCACAACGACCCCCGTCAAAGGAGCTGAGAAGCGATGACAAGAACAGCGGCGCGCCAACACTGCTCAGGGTCAAGACTTTCATGATGGTAAGTTCCATGCTCTTCCGGTCCGCTTTGAGTTGGTATTGATCTTCTAACATGTTCTCGAGTTGCTTGAGATCGCTGTCGTTGAGGAGGGAAAGCAATAGCACCACGATTTGCATTACCTTTGGTTTGATCGAGCCAAAGGCCAGTTTGGAATTGGACGCTTTCAATTCTGAGAGGTATGAAACGCTGTGTTTGACTGTCAGCGCGATTCCCCGGCTGGTGGCGAGGGTCCAAAAAGCCTTGCCGTTGTCACAGCCGTATCGAGTGTAGGTAGACTTATGAATTGCCAGCCTGTGAGCTATCCGGCCGATAATCGGGCTCCAAGAGAGCAAGCGCCGAGCATCTTCGACCATAGTTTCGAGAATCTGGATAATCTCGTTTGCGTTCCGGCGAGCTTTGGTTCCTTTCTCCAACAATAGTGTTCGGAAGTTGTAGATGAGATTCATGAGGCTATTTCCGTGGAGCTCTATGCAAAGGCACTCTAAATCGAAATGCTGCTTTGGAGAATCCGCGTTCACTATGTGCACTCGCTCGCTCTTGATGTTAACTTTCGATTTAGATTCGGCTCCATTATTCGCAGCCTGCTTGCCTTGCCTGTTTCTACGCTGCTGGAGAATGTGCGGCGTCATGTCCTTGAAGTCGAACTCGAGTTCCTCGGTAGCCTCGATTTCTTTCAAGAGATCGCCTGCCGTAGCCGCCTTCCACGTGGGTGACTTTTTGACTGGTGCCCCTCTCATGACTCCTTCGTTCTCCTGTCGAATGACCTCGGCGAAGTCGGCGCCAGTAATGTAGTGGATTGCCACGTCAATGCACGTGGCCTTGTCGTCGTAAACATCCAAACGTTCTCCCTTCTCGTAGGTAAAGGCAACTTCCTCGACAGGAGCTGCTGTAAGCCCGCTGAGTCCCCGTCTGAGGCTGTGGTCACTCAGAAGCACATTCCCACTGCCACTTGTGTCCATGTAATACTGCTGCCAGATTGCCCTTAACTCTGCATTCGGTTTTCCAAGGACGCCGTCTCGCGTGGCCATGAGGCGGCCATCGCCTTCGTACCCTGCCGGCGTATCGTCCGACTGTGCGTAGTCTTCCTCTCCTACCGGGATTAGTTCGGCCGCTCCTTCGTCATCGACGTTGTGTCCTTGATGAAAGTGGGACATATTGTCGAGTGCCAACCTTATGAACGAGAATGACAAAGAACAGGGGGGCAAAACAGGCCCAGAGAATGCTGAGAGTCCGGAAAGACAGAAATATTTGTCAAATTCTTCAGGCGAAGAAAGAGTAGGAGAAACGATCGAAGGAGGGCCTGCGGTCGAACACTTATCTCTGCCAGTCGTGCTCAATAATAGCGAACTGAAGGAGTTAAGGTCCTTACGGAGTAATATGATTTCTTCCTCCCTCGTAGCTTCCAAAGCCAATCAAATGGCATTGGATAATAATACTATTCATGGCGTATGGGTTCTTTCGGCTTATGGATTTTGATTAGTTTATAGGTTGAGTCCTAATTCTTTGCCACCTTTTCAGCTTTCAGCTTTGTGGGTTATGCATAGAAGGCATTGCTTATCGGATTAGAAAGCGCCCGGATATCAAATGATTTATCGTATCGCGACACGCTCTATTTGGTAATTGGCTGTCACTATTCGACGCAATGCCATGGCTTGCCACGTTGTCAATAAGTTGCAATTCTGTGCAACCTTTTCAGCTTTCAGCTCTGCGGGTTATGCATAGAAGGCATTGCTTATCGTAATAGAAAGCGCCGGATTATCAAATGATTTATCGTATCGCAATACGCTCTATTTGGCAATTGGCTGTCACTGTTCGATGCAGAGCCATGGCTTGCCACGTTGTCGATCATGAGTGGTCCGGATACAGAGAGATAAGTATGCATTTGAATCATTTGATTATGGGTAGGGCGGCATAACCAGAACAAGACCTATTCTAAGATGTCACCCGCCGCTCCGAGACGTTCGTGGGATTTACCAAGACGTTCTTGAATCTCTCTACCAGCCTACAAGGCTTTGTACGCAGGGCGTACCGCTAAAACATGGGGGTTCACGGAGTTCGCGAGGTATCTGATTGGCTAGACTAATAGCAATGGCATCCTTTATAGAAACTCCTTGTCGCAACTTCCTCATCGACGTGAGTGGGGTATAGCAGTAAGCAGCATTTAGGGGTAATATATTATATTTATTACTAAGCTCCGTTGTGTCCGGGTCTCTTTTGAGTTCGTCGTACGCGTCGTTCCATATTTCTTCTTCTGGCGTTAAGTTTGCGAATTTGGTAGTAAGAGACAGTCTAGGGCTCTGGGCAAGTGGCTCTTGAGGGGGCTGCTGGGTGTCCTTCGAGCCGCTCTGATAACCCTCGTTCGCCAATCCGAGCGGTTGCCCAATCGCGCCCTTGGTGTGACGGCTGGCGTCACGGTATGATCCGCCGGGATAGGAATCAGGAAACAGGTGTGAAACAGGGGAACTAAGCCAGAGGTCTGGGCAAAGCTCTACTAAAGATCGAGGCATTCCTCCCTCCTTTACTCTCTAGCCTAGTATTTTCAATACATGAGATTCTCTCTGAACTTTGAGCCTTCGACCATTGTATTGATCTTGCCGTTACATAATACTAAGCTCACTCGACTCGCCTGCAGAGGCAATATTAATACTCCTAATAAAGGACTAGGGCACTATATTCTTAGGGAGTAAAGACAAATTACCGCTCCTAACGTTCAGTATTCTTCCGAATTCAAAAGAAAGAAGAACGACAGTCGGTACCGTTCTGCCGACTCAAAATAAGAAAGAACCGGCGCCCTCCACAACCTAGTTAACCTCAGAATCTGGGCCTCAACTGGAGCAGATAATGCCCCCGTCCTCTACAATCGAGCTGACCTCGGAGTCTGTATTGAAATTGGTATGCTGCTATAGCTAGCTTACCAGTCCTTCCAGCACCAGGTTCAACCACTAATTTAGGGTTCTCCACTCTCATTTGTAATTCGCTGAGCTTACCAAGCTTACTAATATATCGTTATTTTGATTACTTTTGATTTCTTAGCTGATTTATAATATATTAGAGAAAGCGGGCTCGGTATTATTAATATTGCCAATAGGTAATAGAAATAAAAACCCTTACTTTAAATACTTTCTTCTCTACTATCAGACTTCACTCTCTTATAGCTAATTATTCTATAAATTATTAATCTCTAATATATCGATTTTCTATTAATATATTAATTTTTTTTTAATAATTTAGCTTATAGCTAGAATAAATAATATTTTCTTAATAACTAATAAAAGTAAAAGAAATAATTTTCTTTTATTATAAAAAGAATTAATTATAGTTTACTAATTTAAAATAAGAAAAGATAATAATTAGATTTAGTTCATTAACTTAAATAAAAAGAGCTAATAATTAGTTTTAGTTTACTTATTATAGGCCAGGCCTTTATATAAAGAAAACTAGTAGTTTTAATATAAGAAGAAATAACTAAAGAAAAAAAGAGTCTTGCTCTTATATAAGCTAAATATATATAAGCTATATGTAATGGCAGGAATAGAGTAATAGAACGAGGCTCAAAGATTAATAATTTCCTATATCTTGAGAATTTAAAGCTAAGGAGGAAAGAGTGAGGTGTGGCAGTGGATAAGTAGGTATGGCCAAGACCACTGAAACGCCGAGCTTTGGAAGCGAGCTTGGTTTGAACTATAGCTTGGAACCTTAGCTAAAACCAATTATATAATACTAGCTGTTATACTATATATTTCTATAGCTATAATAATAAAAGTTATATAACCTAGTTTAAATTACGGGTTTAATTTATTATATTACTTTCTTTCTTATAGAGCTAGAGGCCTATTTGTTTTTAAAGTTATTAGAATTAAATTCCTCTAGAATTTCATTAATTTAATATAGTTTTAAAATACTAATTTTTATTATATAACTTCTAGAATTAACTCTTAATTTAATTAGTATTAAATATATATAATTTTATATTTAATAACTAGTATTATTATAATATAAATATAGCCTTTTCTTTTTATAGGCTTTAATTATATTTTTTAAAACCTGTTTTATATATATTTCAGATATAAAAACTATTTCTTTATTTACTAAAACATTATTATATTAATAGCTATATATAAATATCTCTAATTTGGCCGGAATATAATTCTAATTAGAAATATTTATATATAACTACTAATATAATAATATTTATATATAGCTACTAATATAATAATATTTTAATAAATAAAGAAATATATATTTCTAAAATAGTTTTCTAATATAAGATATTTATTAGTAAGTAATAAGATAATAGAATAAATTAGTAAATTATAAAACTATAATATTAAATTTAGTATAAACTAATCTCTATTTCTTTTATAAGATCTAAAAAAACCTCTTTTAAATAAAAGCTTTTAATAATATATATTTAGTAATTAATGAGCCTAAAGCCTATAATATAAATAGTAATATAATTATAATATTAAAAAGCTATTAATTTCTCAAATTAATATTTGTATTATCCGAAATTTATTATATATTATTAAGTTATATATAACCCTATATATATTATAACTATATTTCTTTTCGAAAATCTTATTTCTAAGATTTATTAATTTATTCTAATAAAATATTTAATTAATTATTTAATTAATTAAAGTAAACTTCTAGTATCTTAAGAAATAGTTTTACTAATATAATCTAAATAATAAATATAAAAATCGTCTAATTAGATTAGGGTTAAATAAATAAAAACAAATAGTAATTATATTCTAGATATAAAGGCTAGATAGTAATTGCGATTTTATTTAAAAACTAAATATTCTAATTAGCTTAATTTAAAATATTAAAATATTATTTTATAAAATTAATACTATTTATTAGATCTTATATTAGAATAATTTAAATAGCTTTATAGAAAGAATTTAATAAAATATTTATATAAGAAATTCATATAAATATTTCTAAAGTTCTAGAGATTATTTATAGGTTCCTAAAAGTATATATTAATTAATTATACTAATTTCTAATTAGAACTAATATAAAAACTAATAGTTAATTCAAATAATTTTTTATTTTTATAAAAGAACTTTTTTATATTATTATATATTCTTTTTCTTTCTAATAATTATATATATAACTTCTTTTATTATTATTTTTTAGTTTCTTCTTTTATTTTTTTTATATTTTTTTTTTAATTAATTCTATAATATCTTCTGGTTTTACTATTTATTAATATAATTATAAATATAAAAATAACTTTATAGTCTTTTTTCTTATTACTAGTAAATATTTGAAATATTTTAAGTATTTATTTATTTATTAATTTATTTATCTTATATATTATAATATCTAGTAAAAAGAACTATAACTATTATAATAAAGATTCTAAATCTTATATCTTAGTAAATTCTTTAGTTTTAATATTTATTAAAGCTAATATAATTCCAGATTTCTTATTATTTATTAGAGATTTACTAGTTCTAAAAAATATTATTATAACTTTTAAGAAATTCCTTAAAAAATATCCTAAATAGTATTATACTATTAATAATAAGCCTAACAATTAGGTTTTCAAAAACTAGAAAAAGTTTATTAAGCTTCGGAATTCTATTTCTCATTTAATAAAGCTAATAAAAATAATATTTAGATTAATATTCTAAAAATCAGTTTTTTCTAATATATTTAAATATTTACTAATTCTTTAAAGAAATATTATAAAGTTTACTTTTAAGGTATTAAGTTTATTACTAAGATTATTATTAAGATTTTTATGTAATTTATTATTAATACTTATAATTATTCGGGATTTAATTTTAGAAATTCGGGCTTTCTATAAAATATATATAATTATTATAAGTTTCTTATTTGCTTTTCTTATTATTCTTAATATTAATATTATTATAATATAATTATATTCTATTAAAAAATAAACAGATTTCGGAAAATATTATCTAATTCTTTATTAAGTCCTAAATAGGGCTAATATTTAGTATTTTTATTTTGGGAATTAAGAATTTATTTATTTAAGATATTTATAGCTAGTTTTATTTATAATAAATCTTTTTTAATTCTAAATCCTTTTCTAATAATTTAAATATAATTTTTATAAGCCTTAATAAAATTCTAGAAATTCTTTATAAATAAAAGAATTTCAGGAAAAAAAAATTTCTATTATTATTCCGGGCTCTTTTTTTTAGTTATTTAGGTTCTTTCTTTCTTTTAAATAGGTTTTTTCTTAATAATTCAGAATTCTTTTTAATTTTAAGAAATTATTAAATAATAGTTTCGAATTTTAAGCTATAGTTTTAATTATATATTTTTAGAAGTTTCTTGAAATTTTTAAAATTAGAAAAAGCAAATAACTAGATATTACAATTTTTAGGCCAGGCTTTCTATTTAATTAAATACTATTGTTTCTTATTTCTATTATCTTATTAATAATTAATAATAGCTTCTATTTTCTATTTATATTTTTTTATTATTATTTACTAATTCTAGAAGTTCTCTAAAAATATATATAAATATAGCTTTTAATTCTTTTTATTATATATATTTAGTAGTTCTAACTTATATACTAAATTACTAATATATTTAAGAATCTTAAATAAATCTATAAATTTTAGCTTAAGCTTTTTTATTTTAAATTTAATATTTCTTATTAATAATATTATTTAGGCTTCTTTAAAATAATATTTAATTAACTAGTATTTATTATAATAGGTTTCCCGGTTATTTTATATATAATACTATAAATCCTTAAGTTTTTATTTATTTTATTTTAAGAATTTCTAGCCTTTTATATATAACTAATATTTTTTTTATAATTTTATTCTTAGGATTTTATAAAAATTAAAGATAATATCTATAATATATATAGAAAGATATATTTTATAAAACCTAATATTTTAAGTTATTTTATATAAATTCTATAAAAAAAAAAATTTAAATCAGTTATTTTTTTTAAATATTATAATAATATTTCAGATAATATTCTAAGGCCTAGTTTTGCCTTTTTATCTAACTATTTATTTAAGGATAATAAGCTATATTTAAATACTATTTATATATCAAATAGTAATGAAAAGCAAATTAGAACTAGCTAATAAATATTATTTTTTAATTAGAAATAATTTTATTAAAGAAATTAAAAATTAAGAAAGTATATTTTTATATAATTTTAGTAAGCTTCGAAAAGTTACGAAGGACGAGAGAAATGACAGTCAGAAATTTGGGGTGATGAGGTGACGCTGGAGGTCACTTTCAAGATTCAGGCAAATGAACGTGGGCCGAAAGCAGGAGGATTAAGGCGCAGCTCAGTTTCTCGTCGGGGGCAAATACAAACACCAGCTATCTAAATACGTGACAGTCAGAGGCCAATCCGGTAACTGGGTGGCGCGTAAGCCTTAGAGTTGGTCGAATACGCATAGGGTGGTGTGGTGGCATTCTGTGCAACAAACCGAAACCAAAACTTCCTGCAGACTCGAGACTGAAATAGGGTGGGGGCGGGGGGAGGGGAGAGGGTTCGCTTAGTACAAGCGCAACTCGTGAGACACAAAATACAATTGGCAACAAAGCTTTGTACAACAGTTCCATACCGATAGGGTAAGCAGCCGTGGGTGTGGGATGATCATCGACACGAGGGTGCATGCCACTACTTGTTTCTTTGCATTTGCGTCGCGCGCCATTAGCCCTGTCGGCCCGATGCCATTGCTGATGTGCTTTACGGCTAAGAGTTCCGTAATTCTGCCCACCTTTACGGATACCATTGGCAGGAAAATCCCAATTGATTTCAATGGCTTTTTCGAATGTTGTTCAATTTGTAGAACATCTAAAGGCTAGAGTGAGTTAAATTGGGCTATGAGGAACTGATATAATTGCACAGTGGGTGAATGAAGGCTGCTTGGCGGCTCACAGCCTCACCCGCTCAATGATGGAAATCCTTCAGGTTAGGCTTAAAACTCCGGAACATTCAGCTTCAATTCGGTTAAGATCCATCTCATGTCTCATTTATCCAATAGAGGCCCTTCTTTGAAGCCAAGAATCCTTCAGACGTTCAGCAGATGCAGACGTACATGATGGTGCATGTGTCTTGGGGTCTGAAAAGTATCCCGAAACCGCTGAAGTCAGTCCCAATCAAAACCCTAAATCTCTTTTTGAGCAGCTGAGAGGTTTGAAGTGGTGTGCCTTCGGAGTTACAAAGCGGAGAAGTCCCCACTCAATGCTGAAAATGTCTCTGCACTAGCTGTATCGTAAGACAGACCCGAAACCTTGCCAAAAACATATTCTTAACACGGTCTGTTATTATTCATTGGAGATTAGTTCATATATTATGATGTCTAAGACAGTAAGTTATGGAGATCCCCGGACGAGATCATGGGTTTAATGCTGGGATGTATTGCAGAACTTCGAGGAGCAATATCCGACGCACATTTCTCACGCCGGTCCCATGTACAACACCAACTCGACCGAGAGTAGGGAGAGGGGACTTAATGCATCTCCAGAGAGTGTGCCGCCGCAGTACGGTAACTCACCTCCTCTGGGCGGAAATTCGCCTCCTCTGAGTGAGAACTCTCCACCTATGAGTGGAATATCCCAGGAAGCATTTGCTCCCAAGCCTATGGCTCAAGGTTCTCGAGAATCCGCTTACGTCAGTGTAAGCCCATTTCGGGGTTTATCATATACTGGACAAACTCCCGAAGCCGAAAACTCACAGGTTGGTGCGCCTTCGAACAAACACCGAAATTATTGTGGTATGACTAGAACGGTGCTGGTTCTAGTACTAATAATTATACTACTTTTGGTTGCTGGCGCTGTTGGAGGTGGAGTTGGTGGGTCTTTAGCTGCGAAGAATAACTCGAAAAGCGCTGCATCGACTTCAACTGGAAGTGCTACAACTTCGACAACCAGCGCCGTGCCTTCACCATCAGGTACTCCCGGTGCGATAACCTCAACCAATATTCAAACTACCACCAGCGGCTCTAGCGCCTTTACATACATATTCTATCAGCAAGGCATAGATGTGTGGTATATAATTTGGGCAGGCAAGGCTGACGAGGAGACGAAGGGCTTTAGCCGTCCAAAAAAGCTTCCTCTGACGATACCAGCAAGGGATGGAACCCCTCTAGCTGCAACTTCTTATCAGGAGGCTGGTGGCGATAGCCATGTAGGTTCATTCCATTTCAGACTGTGAAAACTTAGTTCGTTGCTATATGATGTTGCGAAACTGACAGATTATAGTTGAATGTCTATTACCTCGAGAACTCGAACAACATTGTCGAAGCATATCTCCATTGTGCCCCCATCTCTACGAACCTGACTCTCGGTACCAACGATATCATATCAACTGGTACAGGAGCGCATCAATCAACCTCACTCGCCGCACTTTATTTTCAGGTTTCAGGGAATTGGAGGGTTTACTACCAAGACCCAAGCTTAGATATCCATGAGCTTTATAGCGAGTATGGAACATGGACCGCAGGTCTAGCTTTGAGCGCGAAGGCCATCGAGGGCACGCCGCTGGCTATCTCGAATATGGGCCCCGATCCAAGCATGAACTTGTTCTATATTGATACGACAACGGAATCTTTGTTCGTTACCCAGTTCTCAACCTCAGACAACTGGCTGTCTCGTAGGTAATTTTCTGGTTCTAGAATCCACTGGGTATTGATCGATCTCCTAGCTATTCCCGCAGCCACGAGCTCAAACATAACTAGCTGGCGGGGCCCTACGGTGTCTCTTGCGGCTGTGGCTACTCCTGGCGAGTTACGAACATACTACATCGGAAAAGATAAAGGAATCTATGAGTATAACTGTACAACCGACAGACTATGGTTTCCGACAGGGAACCTAACTCACTCGCCACTTTGGGATCCAAGTGATTCGTGGGGTCCTGGGGCACTCACTGCGTTAGGCTGGGCAGCTGATGCGATTCAATTACGGCTTTTTTACTTTTCTGGGGGTCTGGTGTGGCAAGCTGTTAAGTCCGGTAACAATGATGTAAGAACTACCGAACTCTTAAAATTTGTTATCGCCTTGCTTTTGAAACTTTCCTCATTGTCTTATATACTATCCGCCTTAACCTAAGGTATCTCCTTTTATATTACATTAATATCTTATTATAAGATAAATATGCTAACTAATTATGATTTCAGTGGTTTGATAACGCGATTACTAGCTAAGGCTCTTTCAAGTTTTTATTATAATATAGCAATATTCTTTTTTACTAATAAAGAAAAATAATATAAAAGAAGGCTAAGAGAAAAGATATTATAATTAAGTGAAAATTAAGTAAAGTCTTATATTTACTTTTATTAATTTCCTTTATTTATATTTTATTAGTTATATAAGTTTAATTCTAGTTATTAAATATTATTTTTATAATAATAATTATTTTTCTAATTTAATAATTTATATTATATTATAAGTTTTTAAATTTTAATTATTTCTTTATTATTATTTCTTATTATTAATATAACCGGTTTTCTAGAATTTATAGTAATAGGATTTCTTATATATAAGTAATAAGATATAAAAAAAACGGGATATACTAGATATAAATACTAATTAGGCTTAGTATATTTAGATATTATATATTATTAGTAAATTAATACTAATTAGTTTATATATATATAGATTAGAAATAGATATTTATATTAAATAAGATATCTAATAGCCCTTAATAATAGTAATCTAGTTTATATTAAGAGAGAACTATTTATTAATTCTATAATTTAAAATATTTAGTAACTTAAGAAAAAAGATAACTAGCTTTTACTAATTAATAAATAGTTAGTTATTTAATTCTATTATTTTTTAAAATTAACTTTAATTAGTATTAAGATTATCTTTTTAGTATTTATAACTTTATTTATATATTACTATAATTTCTTCTTTAGAACTATATATCCCTAAAGCCCTATAAGCTTTTTTTTTAGCTTCTATTTCGATTTTACTATTAAATTAAACTTCTTTAAGCTTTAGAACTTTTCTAGAAAACTCGATATTTTATATTCTAAATTTCTTATTATAAATAAAATATTTATAAACTTTAATAACTCTCGAATTCTTTTTATTATAAACTATATATATATACTAAAAAGAGCTAAGCCCTAAAAATTCAGGATAATAAACTAATAAAATAAATATTCTAAATTATTTTAATATTAGATTATTCTAGTATAAAATAGAAAAGTTAATTAATAAAAACTTTATTAATTTTAATATTAATATATTTATTAAGAATAATATTATAAGAAATTAATATATTAAATTAATTATTATATATATTTCTTAATTACTACTATTATTACTAATACTTCTATTACTATTACTATTATTATTATAGTTATTATAATATATAATACTAGTAAGAATTAGACTAGAGCTAGTAAAGCATTTAGTATCTAAATAAAATATTTATAATTATCTAATTATTATATATAATTCCGAGCTTAAGCTAATATATAGGCCCGTATATAGCTTATAATTATTTAGATTTGAGGCTTTTTTAAGATCCTCTTTTCTTTTTAGCTTTAAATTATTAAAATAGAAATAGTCTAATTATATTTTTTAGGTTCTAGATCTTATACTTATAATATAATTCAAAGCTCTCTTACTTCTTAATCTTATAAAGAATTCAAATAATACCTATTATAATACGGCAGGCCATACTCTTCAAAAATCATATTGTTTTAGCGGTTTTGAGATTTAGGTCACATAAGAGAGCTGGTTTTTCTATAGACTTAGAGAATAATCCCTTATAAGTATTTAATTAATTAAGCTTTTATATACTATATACTATTTATGCTTTACTATTTACGCTTTTAATTTGTTATTTTGCTATTAAGTTACGTTTTGCGCTCTAGTATACTTTATATGGGTTTTTGTCTTATTATAGTTTCCCTCTCATATTATCTAATTAGTTTTTAATAAATATAAATATAATATACTATAGCTACTTTTATGCTAGTTAACTAATATTAGAATAAAAGAAAGCCCTGGAATAACTAGGTAAGAAAGCCCTAGACCGGCCAAGTAAGCAAATAGGCTAGTAATCTTATTACTAAATAAAGATCTATAAAAAAGCAAGTTCCGGAATAACTAGGCAAGTTTGAAAAAGCTATAATATAAGATATTACTAGTATATTACTAGAAGGTAAACTAGAGCCTCTTATTAAGTCTCCTAAGAAATCTAAATATCCTATTAATACTTATAATAAGAAAGATATTCTTTTTTAGAGAACCAAAAAAGAAAAGAGACCTGCCTTATTAAAGGCAGATTTCTGAGAATTATTCCGGAACCTAGAGACTTTATATAAGAAAATTATTAAGCTAATTTTAAAGATATATAATATTCTTACTTATAATAAGAATTATTATAATTAGCTAAAAGAAATCAAGTAAGTTCTATAAAAAAATTAAGCTATTATTAAAAAGCTTATTATATAGCTTATAAGAATAACTAGTTTCCTTATTCTAGAAAATAAATATTTAGTTAAACTCTCTAATTCTTTTATTTTTAAAAATATAACTAAAAATAGTATTACCTTTAATAATTAGTTAGTTTAGATTAAAAATAAGCTTTATAATAATTCTAATACTTACTAAATAAAGAATCTTAAGATTATTTATATTTCTAGCTATATAAGTAGCTATATTCTTATACTAATCTCTTTTTACCTAAATTAGGATAATTAATATATATATAAAACTATTAGAAAACTATATACTTATCTAAAAAAGTTATATAATAACTCAAATAAGAAATAAAATATTTAATAAGCCTTTAAGAAACTATTTATAAAGAAAGGCTAGACTTTTTAGGAATTCTATACTCTATTCCTAAAATATATAATAGATAGAAATATTAATCTATAAGATCTTAAGAATAACCTAAATAATAAACTTATCTAGAAATTCTAAGAAGCTATAGCTATATACTATAATAACTCGGCTATTTATATTATAGAGTTTATATAATACTATATTATAAATAACTAGTAAATCCGAGCTTATTATAAAAAGAAAAACTAGATATCTAAAAAAGCTAATAAAGATATAAATAAGCTAAGCTTAGGAAGTATTCTTTATATAAAGCCCGTTCCCAAAATTCTAGTAATAAATAAGTCTATTATTCTAAAGCTTAGATCCTTAGATCTTAAATACTATAATTATAATAGATTCGGTTATATATCTAGAAATTATTTAAAGTCTAAAATAAAATATATAAAGTAAGTCTTAATAGCTAAGCTAATAGTACTTATTATAAGTAAGTTATTTAAAATATAAAGCAGGAAAATAAGAACTTCTAAAGAAAGTTTCTTTTTTAGAGCTATATTATATAAATATAATAGAAATTAATTTAAGCTAGTTACTAGAAAATAAAGTATTTATATTTTCTTATATAATTAGTAATAATAAATTAGGTATTAAGACTTCTTATTTTATTAATACCGGAGTAAATAAATATACTTTTATTAATTTCAAGTTTATAAGAATAATTAAATAATTTCTAGATATTAAGCCTATTTAATTAGTATTACCCTATAATATAAGAGAATTTAATAGTAAATAGACTATATCTATTACTTATTATATTAAGCTTATATTCTTAATTAATAAATAAAAGATCCTAGTATTTATACTAGTTATAAGGCTAGATAAATATAATATAATATTGAAATAATAATAGTTTATAAATACTAGTATTCTAATTAATTATAAGAATAGAAAATTAATCTAGTTAGATAATTAGCCTAGAAAGAAGAATTAGAATAAGGTTCTAATTACTATATATAAGAACTTGAAATCTAGGAAAAATAACTAGTATTAAGAAAATATAAATAGAAGAAATAAAGCTATAGCTATAAATAAGTTCTAGAAACCTTAGTTTATAAAGAGAAAATTTCTTTATTTTTTTTCTAAACCGGATTTAGAAAGCTATATATAGTAAAAGAATTAAGCTTAATATTATAGAGAAATATAAGTAGTTTTAGAAAATATAGAAGTTTCTTCTAAGCTAGAAATAGGGATATTAAAATTATACTATCTAAAGAAAAGCTATAAGATCTAATTAAGACTTATAATTAATATTATAGATATCTTACTAATTACCTTTTAGATAAACCTATAAAAAAAGAAAAACCTTTTTTTTATAATATTATTTTTTGAGATTAATAAAGAACTAGAATTATAATAAGAGAATAAGTTTATTTCGGGTAAGTAATAGCCAGAAAAGACGAAGCTATAATAGCTAGTAAAAGTCTTATTAGAGAAATTTAAGGATTTTATAAATATTTTCTTAAAAAAAGTATTAAATATTTTATTTCTATATTAATTATATAACTATAAGATTTAGATTAATAATCCCAAAGGCCCAGAAAGCCTAGAATATTTCCTGCTCTATTAATAATTAACTTATAAGTTATAGAAAATTAAGTATTTCCTTAAAGAAAACCTCTAATAAGGCTTTATTAAGCCAAGCTAGTTTCTTTTTATATTCCTAATTCTCTTTATAAAAAAGGCTAATAAAGCTCTCTAATTTTATATTAACTATTATAAGCTAAATAATTTAATATAGAAGAATTATTATTCTTTTTCTCTTATTTATAAGATTCTTATATAGTTAGCTTAAGCTAAGGTTTATATAAAGCTAAATATTTAATAAGTATTTTATTAAATCTAAATAGATCCAGAATTAGAAGAACTTGTAATATTTTATATAAAATATAAAGCTTATAAATATAAAGTCTTTTAGGAAAACCTAACTAATAGTTCTACTATATATTAGAGATATATAAATAATATACTTTTTAATTACTTTAATATCTTTTATATAGCTTATTTAAATAATATTCTAATTTATTTAGATAATTTCCTAAAATATAAAAACTATATATAAAAAGTTCTTTAGTAGCTATAAGATACTAATTATTATAAGTATAAGATCTAGGGCCTGGAAGGCATAGTTAGACTATCTCTATTTCAATAATTCAAAGCTAAAGAGAGAAAAGAATCCCAAAGGAGCCTTAGATCTAAATAATTACGAGCTATATATAGGCCCATATACTAGCTTAAGCTCGGGGTTATATATAATAATTAGGTAATTATAAATACCTTACTCAAATACCAGATACCTCTCTAGCTCTAGTCTAACTCCTACTAGTATCATATATTATAA